TGTAATAACACTCTGAGCTGCGATATCACTTTCCGTCACCGTAGAATTTCCCCAAGAATTTTCATGTAACATCTTTTTTAAAATTGATTTTTATTTTGCACAGTCTTCAATATATTCCTCAGTTACACAAGACGAACATCATCCACGTGCTTTCAAGGCCTAAAATATATTATACTCCTAGGTTTGCCAGAATAGTTGCACAATTCCTTCGGAATGCGTGTTATGTATAAGTTGACGAATCCGGCAATTTTAAACGTTGTGCAACTTTACTGGATCAATTTCCTATGGTGCTTCTACTCACTAACTGATTCGTGTCCTTCCCATCTCGCATTGCAAAGAATAAATGAGCTGACTTTGCCTGTTTTGTCGTGGTGCTAGATATTTTTTGTAAAATTCCATATAATTAACTCTTTCGTTTCCTTGATTTTTTTATCGTTCGCGATATCGTGATATACGCGTTTTGGTGTCGGTAATATTTGCTATTATAAACGCACTTTTATCTTCAATGTGATTTATTTTCAAAATACAGCGAGTATTAATACAGGGAGTTTAGTAAATTTCAAGACAATTGTTTTCCAGTTTTTAAATAAATAAAATTTAATGTATGGATTTTGTAGTACGAAGATAGTGTTGTGCTTTAGCTCGAATTTTAGTAATTATGAATCTCTTAAAACAAGTTAACTTTTAATCAAATTATGAATTTGAAAAATGTGTAATTAAAGTACCCAAAAATTCATGTCGCCCAAATAATCATAATTATTAAAAATAATTTAGGTACTTACCAAGTAAGCAAAATTCAGTAATTTTTAAACGCACAAGCACAAAACAAACTACAACATATGATCAAAATGTCACTGGAAAACACCTCAAGAAGAGGAAAGAGTGGTACCCAAAAAACACTCAGACATGGTCCAATTCCAAATACCAACTGAATTGCGTATTGCTAGACAGCTTAGTACCTGGTTTAACCGCCGCGCCGTTGTCACATTGCTCGATATGAATTTTATCGAATTTTAAATTTATTACAACGCTAATTATTTTTTAGAATTAAGCATAAAGTAGTTCAAAAAAGTGATAAACATTGTATTTTATGGGATTCTATGCACGCAGTTATGTCAATATTCCTTAATTAATCGAACTTTTGTACATCAAGTTGGAGATTTTGATAAATTTTTTTCTCGGAAATGGTTGAGTTTAGGACCCATGTCATATAAGGTTTTTTTGTTTATTTTAATGTAGTCTATCGTCGGTCAAAAATAAGGCAGTCAAACAACTTCTAACACCCTGTATAGTTCTTCCCTTCTACACGCCCCTGCTATTCCAAATATCATTCTTACTTTTATATTTACGTAGATTTTATTAGAAAAATTATTTAAAAACTTGGACATGAGTGTGTTCTGTGGTAAAGATTCTTCATGTCCAATACTTTTCCTCTTAAGAAAAACAATTAACGTAGCATATTTTGAAATATCAACAGTTTTATGCAAAAATTTTGTAGCTTTGAGCATAGAGTATTTAGCTCACCTTGAAACAAAATAGGCTATACAGGGTGTCCCGAAATTCATGCAACAAAATTTGGTCATAGAAGATAAATTTAGGGGACCCGTATTTTTTATTTTTGCCAAGTGGCCCCCTCTTTCGGAGTTACAGCCCCCTGAAGTCCGCCCCTAAGAAGTCTTTTTTATATCTCAAAACCATGTTCTACGAGAATCACTAAATTTGGTACATAGCCAAAAAAATTTAGTACCTTATTTGGTAGCTTATTTAGATTTCTTAAAAATTATTATCAGTCCACTAGAAAGCCATTAAATTTAGAAAATTTTTGTCTCTATACTTTTTTCGTAAAACAGTTTTCGAGAAAAATTTCTAGCTAATAATTTAAAAAAAATTAAATTAAGACAAGGGGGTCCACGAAAAAATGTCTTAAGGGGGTTTCTCGCCAAAAAGGGTAGCACTATGAGATTCAACATGTCATAAAACTCCTGTGACCAAATTTTGTTGCATGAATTCCGGGACACCCTGTATATAATTACCTTTTCTGTAATATTATCAAAATTTTTCTTGTTACGTTAAGATTTTTTCATATATCTTTTTGGACTTCTCGGGAATTATGGCTAACTCAGCATCCTACTTGCTAAACATTTTCCGAGTCTGAATCGTCACTTTTTTGGATCACAACTTGCAGGAAGCTTAAGTTTTGGCAAAAATACATAGACCTTATAAACTACCTACTAGTTTACTAGGTCTATGCAAAAATATTATGTCGGAGAAACTAATGACAGCAGATGTAACTTGACAATAAATATTCGGTCTCATAGTAACCAAAGCGAAAACTTTGTCATGAACGACTTGTTTGTTTTATATATTTTTAAAATATAATATATTTGTCAACATTTTATGACAGTTTTCGGGAAAAATATTTTAAAATGTATAAGTAAAAAGAATGAATCGGAAATACAACCCAGGTATGATGAATTTTCCATGTCAACTAAAATTATTGTTAAATCCACTTAAATGCTTTATTATTCTGAGATTGTCCTTTATACAGGGTGTTTCTAAATAAGTGTGAAATATTTTATGGTATGGTTGCCGAAGTTATTTTGTGGAAAAAGTTCATATAATAGTCCAGTCATTATAGACATGAAACAGCCTGTTTCGGGAAAAAAATACTATTAGAAGTTTTTCTGCGAAATATTGTTCGGAAATGTGTTATAAATAAAATATCAAAAAATCAACTCGAGACCAGTTGGGAAACTTTATTTAAACAATGGTCAAAGTTATGGAAAAGTGGTTTTTTAACTCGCGTAAAAAAACTATTATTCATAGCGAAAACAAGTTTATACAAAAAAGGTAGGTATTAAATAAACCTTTAAAATGAGACAAGTCCGATTAAATTCGGATAATTTGTTTATGCGCAAGAGCTCAAAAATGGTCGAAAATGACCGTTTTTTTTTCAATTGCTAATAATTAATGCAATTTTCATCATAGACACTTGTAATTTAGGATTCTTGAGGCTTTTTACACCCTTAATAAGTGATACAAATTTCAGCCCGAAAGCTTCATTGGTTTGGCGTTGGCGGAATTTGTTATCTAAGAAGATGCTATTTTCAATTCATTTTTCCCAAGCTCACAGGCGTTGTAGAGTTTCGATCATTAGTTGTTTTTGTACCTAAATAGTTGTATTGACATATGCATTTACTGAGAATTTAGTTTTTCAAATTTAATTTGTTTAAAATTGACTGAAAAAATGTTAATATTTATTAAATTGTTAAGATAGGTAATTATTATAAAATAAAATAGTAACCTCTTTACTTTAGTTTTCTTCGAATTTAAAAAAAAATCGTTGTTGTAAGTTGATTAGAAGCTGAGATAATTTTTTTTATTTATTTAATCGCAGTGACCTTAATTATTAATATTAAGAGCCGAAATTTGGAGAGAGTATACATTAAGAGCTATATTTTCATGTCCTACATTAACATTAAGGTGAATTCAACTATTTAATTTCGAAAAAGAAGATAGCGGCGATGCGTTCTATTACTTGGTCTAGCGAACGAGTGGGGAAGGCGAGGCTTAGCATGCGCGCTTAACGATGTAATAAATATTAACATTTTTTCAGTCATTTTTAAACAAATTAAATTTGAAAAATTAAATTATCAGTAAATGCATATGTCAATACAACTATTTAGGTACAAAAACAACTAATGATCGAAACCCTACAACGCCTGTGAGCTTGGGAAAAATGAATTGAAAATAGCATCTTCTTAGATAACAAATTCCGCCAACGCCAAGCTAATGAAGTTTTTGGGCTGAAATTTTTACCACTTATTAAGGGTGCAAAAAGCTTCAAAAATCCTGAATTACAAGTGTCTGCGATGAAAATTGCATTAATTATTAGCAATTGAAAAAAGCGGACAATTTCGACCATTTTTGAGCTCTTGCGCATAAACAAATTATCGGAATTTAATCGGACTTGTCTTATTTTACAGATTTACTTAATACCTACCTTTTTTGTATAAACCTTTTTTCTCTATGAATAACAGTTTTTTTACGCGAGTCAAAAAACCACTTTTCCATAATTTTGACCATTGTTTTAACAAAGTTTCCCAACTAGTCTCGAGTTGATTTTTTGATATTTTATTTATAATACATTTCCGAACAATATTCCGCAGAAAAACTTCTAATAGTATTTTTTTCCCGAAAAAAAGCTATAATGACTGGCCTATAAACGTAGGTCGAAAATGCCTCGTTTTCGAGATACAGTGTTTAAATTTTAATTTTTTATTTATTTTTGTTAATTATTTCAGAGTTTTAAAGATATTGACTCGAAATTTCAAAAACGGTTTGGAGGAATAAATGTGCATTTTTTGGGATGATCCGAATATTTCTACTTGCACCAGTGACGTTTGTGCGAAAATACCACAACATTTTTTTAATAAAAAAAATCGTACGCCATTGACTTTTTCCCATTTTTGATATTTTTTTAGAAATCCGCCATCAATTCTGAATGAAATTGGCCTCTTCATTTTTATTCGTAGGATGCACCGTTTTTTGAGGAAAAAATAAAACATATTTTACTGCAAGTTGTGTATTTTTAATTTCTATTGATACATTATCTAGTAGGTTTCTGTCAATATTTCTAAATAAAATACAACCTTCAAATTTCGAGTCCATATCTTTAAAATTCTTTGACATGATTAATACCTAAAACTAAATAAAAAATTTAAATTTAAACACTCTGTATCTCGGAAATGAAGCATATTTCGACCTACGTTTGTATAAACCTTTTTTCACAAAATAACTTCGACAACCACCCCTTAAAATATTTCGCACTTATTTACAAACAGCCTGTATAGTTCACCGCGTTTTTTAAATTAAACCTTCAAAATAATAGAATACGCTTTGATCCACGGAAAAACAAATTCGCACGCCACTGTTTCTAATAGTAAACAATAATTACAACCGCAACGATAAGTTCTATTGCCACAATAACTTATACGATTTTTTCAAATGTTTTCGCTGACTTGGAGCAGTCCAATTCCCCACTTCGTCGTCCGCCTCATCAAACTGAATTGGACTATCCACGATGGACAACGTGGTGTACTTCGTAGGTGTGGACGTGGGTACGGGCAGTGTTAGGGCCGCTTTGGTAACGGAATTCGGGAAAATCGTCAGTTCGGCCGTTGAAAGTACCAAAACGTGGAATGTGCAACCGGATTTCTACGAGCAATCGACGGAGGATATTTGGAATGCTGTCGTGCGCAGCATAAAGGTAACGTAGAGATATGTAGTAGTGGTCAAGATTATAAATTGATACCTACACAGTGGCGTATCACCAATGTGGGAACTCTTAAAGCCCAGATAAGTGTGACTCCCAAATCTTTTACCAAATTAGTTGTTATCATTTCGAAAAATCGATATTAAAAACTCTAAAAAAATAAGACTAATAAAATACGACGATATATGAAAAAGAATGCAAAACTATTAAAAAATTATACATATATAGGTAAAAACAAAAATCTACCAAACTTTGTAATATTAAAATACTCATTCTCATTATACTTTTTGGATCTAGGTAACCGCTGTTTAATATCAGAAGATTAATTCATAATACCTATAATAATTGCAATTGACCCTGTAATTACCATTCTACAAGACGATAATTTTAGTAGGTTACAGTGCTTCTGACTACTAAGACTCAAAGTGAAGCTGTCTACAACATGTTTCTTCAACATATTAAGCAAAGATGTTTGAGGAGATAGAGGAGAAAAAAAAGGTTGCAATTTTTCTGCGTAAAGGTTGTTTTGTTGTTTCCTGCATATGGTGGGGAATTATTATTTTAAAACAAATTAAACTTGCAAAACAACTATAGCGTAGTAATATACGTCTTATCTTTATCTTCTTAAATCTATGATATAAACTAATTTAATTATAAATGAATTATCATTTCATAACGCAAAAATATTAATTTAATCAAAATTCATATTTCTACGTTACTGAGATGATAATGATTTTTTATCCTACGTTGGATTAAGATAAATGAAACCTGCTAAATTAAATTTGGCACTTGATAGAAATAATCGCTTATCTCTACACAGCTATATTTAAAATTTTCCACTATCTCAATAATGATAACAATACACATTGTTTTACTACCTCTAGGTACTACGTTTGTTTATGTTTATATCAAATTAAGAATAATGATTTAAAATATCTATTTATCGTTTTTTGTAGGCTGTGATAACAGGCGTAAAACCGGAAAAAATCAAAGGAGTAGGCTTCGACGCCACTTGTTCCTTAGCTTGCTTTGATACAGAAGGAAAACCACTGAGCGTCAGCCCATCAGGTATTTATCCCATTTGATTTTTAGCTTATTATACTCATTTTCTCTTTAGGGGACAATAACCAAAACGTCATTCTCTGGTTGGACCACAGGGCAGTGAAAGAAGCCGAAGAAATCAACAGATTAAACCATCCAGTCTTGAAATATGTGGGTGGGAAAATATCGCCGGAAATGGAAACTCCAAAACTACTTTGGCTTAAGAGGAACCTGAAGAAGCAGTGTTGGGACAAAGCAGGTTTATTCTTTGATCTTCCAGACTTCTTGACTTGGAAGGCCACAAACTGTGACAGCAGGTACTTAAATATTCTTACAGAATACTGCTTAAACAATTTCCGGGCTGACTTGCTAATTGCACTAATTTATATCAAGGGGTTAAAGGGTACAGGGTCATCTAAAGAATAACAATAATATAGATAAATCAGCAGAGCATGGGACAGACAGAGGTCAATAAAATTCCCAAAAATGAAAATTATTTTAGCCGAGGCGTTCGCTTAGAACTGCTTGAAATTTACAACTATGTAGAGTAGGTACATAGAGCAAATACAGATACCGGCCAGAGGATTAAATGTTCTGCTTAAAAATGGATTAACTTTTGACAACTGCCTCGCAAATCAGCATCTTATGCTTCTTATTTTTAGGTCATCATGCTCCTTGGTTTGCAAATGGACCTACGAGATGTCCGTGGAAGGCACAGAAAAATGGAACGAGAGTTACTTCAAACAAGTAGGTTTGGAAGATCTAGCAGAAAACAATTGGAGGAAAATCGGTACAGTTGTCCTCCCACCAGGCTCTCCAGTAGGTAAAGGCTTGTCGCCAATTATCGCTCAAGAGACAGGCCTTTTAGCTGGCACTCCAGTTGGCACGTCAATGATCGACGCTCACGCAGGAGGTCTGGGGTTGATTGGGTGCAGAGTCAACAACGTTGATCCTGCGTTTCATACAAGACTGAGTAAGACGGATAACTCTTACACAATTTTCAATAATAATTGACGTGATTGTGACTCCTTCTATTTAAAGGTTTGATTTGCGGCACTTCCACTTGCCACATGGCGGTGTCAAAGGAAGCCATCTTTACTCCAGGCATTTGGGGGCCTTACAAGAATGCGATGGTGCCAGGAATGTGGTTGAACGAAGGGGGGCAAAGCGCAACCGGGAAACTGATAGATCACATCATCGAATCGCATCCTGCCACTCCAGAAATCAGAAAGAAGTTAGGAGATTTGTAAGTAACTGCATTTTATTAAGGAATAATATAAGGAAAACATATTTTGTAGACACATACAGCAGTACCTGAGCAATTTATTGCACAATCTAGCCAAAAAGGAGAACTTAGAGTCTGTCGCCTTCCTCACCAAAGATCTACACGTGTGGCCTGACTTTCATGGCAACAGATCACCAATAGCTGACCCATCGTTGAAAGGAATGGTAAATTTTCTAGATTTAGTATTAGTAAACAGTTGTTTTTTTTATTTCAAAATCTTTAGATCAAGCTGATTGGTTACACGTGTATTTCAGATCTCTGGATTGACTTTGGCCCAGGATGAAGAAAATTTAGCTCTAATCTATCTGGCGGCAATACAAGCATTGTCGGTAAGAAAAAATTTGAATAGCAACGTAAATAAATATACAAAATAAATCATTCAAAGACTTATTTTAAGTTTTTCTTCTCTCATTACGTGTTAATCTTTGTCGACAGCGGTGAGAGAACAAAAATATAAAATACTTAAGTAGTTTCCAATTTGTCTCAGCCCAATACGATTCCAACTTTACTTAGACATTATCAATGAAGAATTCTAAATTGACATTATTTCAGTATGGCACGCGTCACATTCTAGAATCCCTAAGAGAATCTAACTATACGGAAATCAAATCTACCCTCATCTGTGGAGGTTTGAGCAAGAATCCCATCTTCACGGAAGCACAAGCGGACGTCTGTAACCTTCCGGTGGTATGTCCCGATGAAGTAGAATCCGTACTTCTGGGCGCTGCTATTTTAGGTGCCTGTGCAGCAGGTCACTTCAAGGATATGACCACGGCTATTCAATCTATGGGAGGCGCAGGTAAGGTGGTCGAGCCGAACAAAGCTGTTGTGGATTTCCACAATAAGAAGTACCAAGTGTTCCTGAAGATGTACCGGAATCAGTTGGAGTACAGATCCATCATGGGCACTCAAATTAGTAAAAAAAATTGTCCTTTTTGCAATACACGAAAGAATAATTAACTGTCCTAGTTTCGCTAATAAATAAACAATAGAGCCGACTGACTATTTTTTTCTAAGAATTTACATAAAATTTAACTTATACTGGTATTTTTTCATTCTTCAAATTATGTTGTATAGCAATTGTAGGGACAGGTATTCAATCGACACTATGATTTCCATACAAACAATTCTATCTTACAAATTATCCGTAGAATGCGATATTTGAAAAAAATCCTACCTGAATTTAACCATTTCTAATTTTGTATACGTTATTTTGTTCGGATAATTTTGTACAATTTTGCAGACCTATTTTCAAATTTTGTAAACCTCATCAATCGAAGTTATAACCCATGAAAAACCTAATTTATTATGTGTATTTTATTTGCATATTTTTACAGAATTTTGCGCCTATACCTATAAGCTATGTCTTTTTTCGTTGCGGTGTGCAAAATTGTGCAAAATTACTTGAATATAATGACATAAAAAGTAAGATTTGATTGAATTGCAAAGATTTTTTTTTCTTTCATGGGATATAACCTTTTTTGGTGAGATTAAATTTGATTTACTTTTAAGGGACATTTTTCTAGATGCAATTTCTTTCAGTGATTTTGAAAATAGGTGTGCAAGGCTTAAACATACCGTGCACAATTTATAGCACAGCATAAGATTAATGTTAAAGTAATCAAAATCAACTTATTTACATTGTGTTAATTGATTTCATTAATGAAAAACATTTTTATATATTTTTAATCATCCACGTGACACACCACTTAGAGTTACAGTTACTTCTTCGGCAGTTAACTGTTATTTTAAATGTGATGGTACTTCAGTCCCATATGATTTTAATTGACTCAATCTAAATAAATACAGATCAAATTACAGTTTTCTCTTTGAACAAAAGACCTGGTCACCGAGGGTCAGCTGTTTGTATATTCATCGCCGTTTTGCAAACTGTGCCTATTTTTTCCACTCCCTAAGTTCATATAACTGTTCCACGGCTTCGATCGTCAGATCGGTGTCGATCTTTTTTTTATTTCTCAACAAAACGAGTTCGATTCTTGTAAGAAGCCACCGGATATTAATATAGCGGTAAAAACTAAGAGACGTTCGCAAAAAACGTCCACTTGAGGATAATGTGGAGACATATTTAATTCTTAAAACATTTGATTCTTTATTATTTAATGAAGCTTTGGTAAATCTATCCAGTTAACCGCAGTGTGTAGGTGGAGACTGGAAATTCAAACTCTACAAGGTGCGCCAATTTCAACATTTTCGGAAGCTTCCTTCTATTTAAAATGATTTCATTTTTACGAATTATGAAATTATTAAATCAAATAACTCGAAATTGAAGTTGTTTAAAATTCGGAAAATTGCTGTATTAATAGAAAACGCCGTATATATAATAATGAATGTTTCACAGACTCGGAATAGTTAGCTGACCTTTGTTTATCATAGCATTAAATATTTTGGTTTCTTCATCAAACAGAACACAATAATTCGTTAGGAACTAACAACTTCCTCCCATCCTTACTTTATTTGTAAAGATATTGTTGGAGTAATGCCACACCAATGAACCACCCTGTATATTAAAAAATTGTTGGATTGTTGGGGGATGTTAACAACATTTTTCTAGCACCACGGTATACAAATACCAAGTTGAAAAAAAAATAACAAAAAACTAAAGAAAAACTAATACAATAAAAAATACAAAGTACATTGAATATATTACATTCACAAGTACAATTTAAGGAAATACGATTTTAATACCTTTAATTGCAGTGAAATATATAGGGTAAAACAGGTCCAAATGTGTTTACACGTAGGGTTATCAGATGTGAAACATGTAAAGTATGACAATTGTAACAAAAAAGGATGACTTTCAATGAAAAAGTAGGACATTTTTTGAACATTTTATTTTACTTTATTAGGAAAATAAAAGATACTTGTAAACACAAGTGAACTTAAAAAACATTGCATTTTGCATATATTGCGTTAACAAATGGAACAAAAACTTCATAAAATATGTTGTGGGCATCCTTACATTCACTCCGTAGCCGCCGAATGTTATTGTTGAGTATCCAAGGATAATAGCATTGTTAAGATTGTGATTTTGATTGAAAACCATGGTATAACTATAAATTATATCATGATTGAAAACTAATCATGTTAATCTTGATTAAAATATTAAAAATTTTCAAGTAAGTGTCAGGTGCAGCAATTTTTATCGATACTATTTTTAGAAAGCCGGACAGAGGGGAAATCCGGCAGGACAATTAAATTTTTTTAAAAAATAGGACATGTCCGGCTTTATCCGGACGAATGGTAACCCTATTTACACGTTGGTGGAAAATTTTGAATAGTTGTAACATTAGGTACCTATTTCAAATTATTTTATTAATTAAAACCACAAATTAATTTTATTGATTAATAATAGTGGCAAAAGCAATTGAATTTGCTGATATAAAATAGGTGTTATAAAATTTAATTTATTTCTTTCATTGGGAAAGAAATTCTTTCAATTTTTTGTTCGTTTATATTTTATCATCTTATCTTTGTTATATTGGTAGGGCCTTTTTTATAATCAAATAAAAACCTGTTCAAATTTGATATTGGTAAGTCGCTGATTGCGAGCGGTGACCTTTTTTTTAGAGAGGTCTCCATACAACTTGCAGGCCCTAACCAAAAGTTGTAGCTACGCCCATGGCCGTGCATGCTTTATAGGTCAGGTTTTATAAAGTGGACCAGTTTACAGTGCCGTGCAGAAGTGTATTTTTAAAGCATTTTTGAACCGCCCTTTTTGATTTTTTATAAAATTGTATTTGTAAGAATCCCCTGCACATTCAAATATTTTGTTTTGGATAAGTTTTGAATCACCTTGTATTAAGTTGTTAACAGAGATGTTTAACAAATAAAATGTATGGGTGATTATTAAAAAAAATGTTATCCATGGCACTAGTAAATGTAAATAAAAATCATTAAAATTAGGGATATCAAATTTAGCACATATAAACTTGAAAATTTGGTATATTTAAAATATTAGGAGTATCTAGAATATTATGAACTAATTTTGGAGAAAAACACTAGAGAAAAAAGTTGTTGCGGATTTTACCAATAAAAGACTTTATGACTGAAAATTTATTTAACATTTTCTGTTGTGAAAATCCAATTATTAAGTGTATATAGTTAGGTATGTCTAATCTACGTAAAGTAGGGTTCCAAATGACTGGAGCTTAATCAAGTTTGGAATTGACAAAGGATATATATATATATATTTANAATAAATTTGGGACTTGAGTCTCTTCAAAACCCACTAAATTTCGGATAACAATACCGAAGATTCTGTATGCAAACACAACAATATTATCAAAATTTTAAAAACTATCCTAGTATTTAAAATAATAATTTATTTTATAATCAAAGGAAATGGGAACTTTTTTCTTACTGAAAGATAATTCATTACCTTTCCCAACGTTCATATAAATTACTATGGAGTGATTTGACAAGTGATTTAGTGAAAATTGTTATTAACTGAATAATATAATTTCATATCGTCAGCAGTGATATCAATAGTGATATCATTTATAATTAATACAAACTAACACTGGCCCAAGTATTGAGCCTTGAGGTACATCAAATGAAGTCAGAAATTGATCAGACCGTGATACTAAATATATTCCAGGTCTGTTAATGAATTTTTGCTACAATTTATCTAAATAATTTAATACGTTTACTTCTGCAAAAATATTTAAATAAGATTCATTTGATACGAGAAATGAGATAGATGACAGTTCTATTTAGAGTATAAGCAGAAACAAATACGCATTTACTACTTCGAAACGATGGATTATTCATTTTCATCATAACTTTACAAGATTAGGTGTAGAATTGTTTCTCTCTAAATTGATGAAAATGCTTCATATTTGCTTTAATATTATTTTGTAACACTTTCAAATATTTGCAGTAGAAATTATGAATATCGCTCCTTACTTGACTTGAACATTCCAAATTCGGTTAAAAAATCTCGCGCGCGACGAGGGCGGTACCGACGCGCATGCGCCGGCCTGGCGCTCCTTCCCCCGCATACAGCCGTTCATTAAAGTTAACTTTTAGTGCTGCTAGCGCGTTTACTATCACACTATCAATGTAAAACTTTTTAGAAGTAAAAGTTTAACCCTTTCTTTAAATTGTCTCTAAAATTCCGGTCCGGAAAATAAGCTCCATTTAATACAAAAAGAGTGAATTCCCGAGCGGCTTTTGCCTGATCCTGGGACAATTTGTTTATAACGTTGTTTTACACGTGCTACTTTGTTATTTGTAAAGGGCAATTTAATTTCAACTTTTTGATTTTTTTTTTTTTTTCGATAGATACGTTTCTTTGGATACGATATTAACTTTTAAAATTAACGTTTTGTAATTAAACAATTTGTTGCAAAAACTTAAACGAAAGTAATTAACAAATTCTGGAGCAATAATATGACGGTCAATTGAATTGGCGTTTGGCACACACCTTGGTCATTGGATTGCCCGTCTCTGCCATATATTTCTTCAAAATCAATCGCTTTTTGCAAAAAAATGCGATGATATGCAATTTTCGAAAACTGATATTTCCGCGTTGTACAGTTAACAAATTATTAAAAAATGAGTCTAGGTACATTAAATTGTAGGTAATTTAATTGCCCTACAACATAAAATAACTAATATTCCTATAGGTCGTCTAGGTTTTCGTGGACAGTAAAAAAAAAGTGAAAAAAAACAAGTAAATTTGCCATTTATTTGTAATTTGCCAACTTAACCTCACTTCTTTTTTGATAGTATGATTCTACATAAACTTCCCCGTCATAAAGTGCAATAAAATGTCTACCTACTAACAATTTTTTCAGGTTTTATGATCTAATTCGACTGCAGTATAAAAGCCCATAGAAGTATACATATGCAAAATTAGGATTGTCAAATTCAGATGAAAAGAAACTAGAGTTTAAATGATGATAAGACTTATGTAGTTTTCTAGGGTACCTAGTTATATTATTTTAAATCATGTTAATTACAAAAAGAATTCAATCGTACAAAAGTTTCAGCAGAATAGCATTCATATCGACATCTTTATGAGAAACAGTAAACGGTGACGTTCTTCGTTAACAGTAAGTATTTATGCATCGAAATCGATCCTCTTTCAGATTTATTATTAGCCACCCTGTACAAAAATCTCTATGTCAACCTCAACAGGAGGCATCACCGTTCCAGTTTCACGCAAAACAAGTCCCCATCTGATCGACCCATCGTCCAACGGGACCTTCTCCTTCCAAACCCGCCTATAGCACGTCCAAGCTCGACCCACTGCCAGTGTGCCTTCCACACCGAAAACATACCAGTCAACCACCAAAAATGTACCGCCAACTACTAACTTTGACCATAACGAACATCATATGTGCGATCTGCGCACCTACGGAACACCCGCAACAAAACGCTGTCTACGACTTTTCCAAATTCGACGAAGTCTACGACCAGCGCCAGAACGGCACTGAGAACATCAAGGTGGACGTCAACGGCGTGGTAGTCGTCTGGGCGGCACCGGAGGCTGTGCTCTCGGCTGTGTCCCTGCTAGAACCCGGGCTACTAGACGGTGACTACTCCGACCTGGAAGAACTTTTGGGTTCCCAGAAGCCGCTCAAGCCGGAAAACTTGCTGGTGGTGAGTCCCGAGAGACCCAGTAGCAGCACTACTACCGCCTTGCCGCCGAGCTTGGTGACGGAAAGTGGTGGTGACTCTCCCCAGAAGGTTCAGAATAACACCGCAAGGCATGAAAACATTAAAAGGTAAAGAATATATTTCTGTAAATAATGTAATATAATAATATCTTCATCCGTCATACCAATAACCCTAGGTGATTTGTAAGGGAAAGAGGTGGATAAATTATTTGGTATTCATAGACCCGTAATTGTTTTATATTTTCTTTGAGAATGTGAAATTTAATACAATGTGCATGCTTTTTATCTTAAACCTAACATTATTTCCCGTAGACATAGGATTATTACTAATTAGGCAGATTGAATTTAGCAATAATATAAAATTAATTTTTTTGCAGGAAATATAGAATACCACTATTCATCAGACCATTTCTAGCAAGAAGAAAGCAGTAAACATTATTTGTCCAGCTATTTCCTGCAAATACATATTTTGACTGATCTATTTAATTATGTGATGACTTTTTAAATAAATATATAGTTTTTTAAATATTGTTTTCTGTTTTACAAAATGTATTGTTGTATTTATAGCCATATCAGTCAAAACAATAATTTTTTAGATTTGAATAAGTAAAAATTGCAACATATCTAAGATCTGCAGGTCATAAGTTAGAAAGAAAAAGGGGTCTTTTTTCATTACGAGGTTCTATTAATTTTTTTGCCTTCATTTGTTTTAATATAATAGGAATTTATTTATGCTGAGTACTTTTCAAGTTTATATACATATGTAGGTATCAAACAACACAAAAATATTCGCATATCCAGTATGGAACAATCTTTACATTGAGTGAATATAATCTAGAGTCTAATGTTACAAAATATATAACAACTCGAGGATGATTTCTTGATAACGATTTTTTTTTATTTTTTCTACAACAGTTGAAGTATTCCCACCAAATTCGATATAAATGTTCGGATATTTATGAGTCATATTTATACATAGTTACAAAAAATAATTCGTGTAGAATCCAGTTTTCCTGACTTAAAAAAGGTTGAATTTTTTCTCTTAGAAATGTAAGCTTTAACCTTAGAGATATAGAAAAAAATATTGCTCTTCAAATGTGTTAATAATGAACACTGTTCTTCAGTAAAAATGGAAAATCCGCTTAAAAAGAATAATACCTACATCAAAGATGTCTTCATACATAAAAAATATTGAAACGTTTTTCATGGGCTGTTTAAGATTTCCCGAGTTCGTATAGTAAAAAAAAATAGAATAGTTATTGTGTGCATATTCACAAATAATATTTACTAATGTACAAACTAAACTATACAGGGTGTCTCATAATTGGTTCCCAATAATTTACCACTTGATTATATTGACAAAAATAAGAATATTTTTTCAAATAAACTTGGGCCTAGAAATGCTTCCTAAGGGAGCTACGCCCCCTAAATGGGGCCTCAAAAAAATTATTTTTTTTTGTTAATATTTTCCAAACGGGTTGAAGGAAAATTATGAAACAGCATCACCATTTTTTCATAGAAAACTCAGATCAATCAAATTTTACTAATTTTACTGTTTAAATTTGAATATAGCAACATGTAAAAAATTTGGAACAAATTTTACCCGAATCCCCCTCTCCCTTGCTTGGGACGTCCATAACAAACTTTTCTAAGCACTTTTCACGTTGTTTGTTACAATGTATAATGATATGATGACATATCAAAATTCATAATGTACCCATTTTAGCCATTCAAAAAATTTTTTTTAATTTTATTAAGGTAATTTAATGAATTGCTTAAAACCGTTTTTCTCCAAAGAAATAAAGAGTACCTTTTTTGCAAAGGAAATGAAGATCTATCATATGTTGGCATCTGAATTTGAAAATTTCCACAAGTAAAAAAATAAGATGATCTATTTCGACTTTTCATGAGCGTTCATGGTGTCAAAATTCATAATTTTCCTTCAATCGGTTTCGAAAACATTAAAAAAAAATGAATTTTTTGAGACCCCATTTAGGAGGCTTAGCTCCCTTAGTAAGCATTTCTCAACCCATGTTTATTTAAAAACATATTCTTATTTTTGGCAATATAATGAAGTGGTTTGGACACTAATTATGAGACACCCTGTATAGTCATCTTTAGTGTCCAAAAACATTTACTTATATGTAACGGCGAACATCGTAACTGTCTTATAGAGAAAAACGTACACTAAATTTGGCATTGATCTTGAACCAATTCAGAAGATATTTAAAAAATCATTGTCAACATGTCATTTTCTAGCTGGAGTATGTATCTTCGTAGGGAGTCAGAACTGATGCTAGTTATTACGAAATTTTTGTATTAATATAGAACTCGGAACACTCTCTATTTTGGCATCCAAATTAAGAGACACCCTGTATAATGTAAAATATTATAAAACATTAAATTGGTACTTTGATTTTGATGATAAGGAAGTGGTTGAACGCACTTAAAAAAAAGTAGGTCCTAAACTGCGATTCACATCAATTATTGTAACGTTTAACCAAATTTTTTAATACACGTGAACGATTTTAAAAACAATTTCTTTCCAACTTTAAAAACTGGGTAAAACTCTNTCGATATGAAACAGCATCACCATTTTTTCATAGAAAACTCAGATCAATCAAATTTTACTAATTTTACTGTTTAAATTTGAATATAGCAACATGTAAAAACATAACAAACTTTTCTAAGCACTTTTCACCTTGTTTATTACAATGTATGATGTCATATCAAAATTCATAATGGTACATGTACCCATTTTAGCCATTCAAAAAAAATTTTTTTAATTTTATTAAGTTAATTTAATGAATTGCTTAAAACCGTTTTTCTCCAAAAAAATAAAGAGTACCTTTTTTGTAAAGGAAATGAAGATCTATCATATGTTGGCATCTGAATTTGAAAATTTCTACAAGAAAAAAATAAGGACAAATTTTAGCCGACGACCCCCCCAATTGAGACGCCCCTGACTAAAATGTTTGAAAAAATTTATGATGATCTATTTCGACTTTTCATGAGCGTTCATGGTGTCAAAATTCATAATTTTCTTTCAATCTGTTTCGAGAACATTAAAAAAAATGAATTTTTTGATGCCCCATTTAGGGGGCGTAGCTCCCTTAGTAAGCATTTCCCATGTTTATTTGAAATTTTGAAAACATATTCATATTTTTGGCAATATAATGAAGTGGTTTGGACACTAATTATGAGACACCCTGTGTTAAGGTTGTAACTATATACTAAATAGTTCCCTTTATTTTGTGGGAACTGTCCTACTAGTAGGCAACCCTAAATTCTAGGTCAACCTAACGCACCCCAGCGTACACAATATATGTTATTTTATTTTAGTGTAGTAGTAAGGTTTCAATGCTAAACCGACACGCTTGTGTGTTAGTATTGTCTCACAATTATTCAAATTATACAGTCCACTTGCAAGTTCTAGTTTTTATTCTACATTAAGAAACCAGCACCTAGTTTCCAAACATATTTTGGTCCTTCGAGCCGGATTAAAAACAGTACAATTAGTGCAATTTAAGAAGTTGGTTAGCATCAAGTCGACCAGCTACACATCAGTCAAGGGTGCAAGTTATCCCCAACGCCCTGTATATTCAAATAGTCATCTTTAGTGTCCAAAAACATTTACTTGTATGTAACGGCGAACATCGTAACTGTCTAATAGAGGAAAACGTACACTACATTTGGCACTGATCTTGAATCAATTCAGAAGATATTAAAAAAAAAATCATTGTCAACAGGTCATTTTCTAGCTGGAGTATGTGTCTCCGTAGGGGTAGGGTGCCAGAATTGATGCTAGTTACTACAAAATTTTTGTATTAAAATAGAACTCGGTACACTTTCTATTTTGGAATTCAAATTAAGAGACACCCTGTATAATGTAAATTATTATAAAACATTAATTTGATACTTTTATTTTGATGATAATCAAGTGGTTAAACGCACTTAAAAAAAGTATTCCTAAATTGCGATTCACATCAATTATTGTAACGTTTAACCAAATTTTTTTATATATTGTGAACGATTTTAAAAACAAATTCTTTCCAACTTTAAAATCTGGGTAAAAATCTTTTATTAAGCCACCAGGTACATCACATTTTAGGCCGAGGTGTTCACATACCGGTTCCAAGATCCCAAAGAAGTCATAAAATCGACTTTTTTTAATAAAATTTATAGATCCATTAAGGTCGTGCTGAGTTCGAGGAACTTAGCGGTACAACGAGTTCAATCGAATTACAAGACTTCTGCAGGGAAGACTTCTTGACCTTCTGTAGCCTTCCTCTCATAGCATGTCATTGACCAAGAGCAGTGGTGGAGATTGGAAAAGGTAATATCAGTCTGCTCTATATTCAATTACATTTAATAAACTTTGAAAGGTGTTCTTCACGGTTCTACTTCGAAGAAACAATGTAACTGAAAATATTCCGTAGATGTACATACACAGAATGTAACTAAAATACTTGGCCAAATTTTAATAGCGGATCCACGTCACAAATTAATAACACGTGTCTGAAAACACTTTGTTTTCAACATATAGGGTGTTTTTTTTTCAAATTTCTACAATCTATGTATCTAAAATAATTCTTAGGGATAAGAATTCGTATTTATTCGTTTCTACTTAAAGAAAAATTTTACTTTTTAAATTAATATATCGTAAAATAAAACATATTTCTTTAAAGATAGAAAATAGGTAACTTTATTTGTGATGACTAAATCGATATTAGCGTATCTTTGAAGCTGTCGGCAAGCACATTAATAAGTTTTAAATAATTGCGGAAAGATTCCACAATTTACAAGGAAGAAGAAGATAACTGATTGTTACAAACCAAAAATTATCGGAAAAGAGCTGGCCATTCAAAAGTAGATCTCAAAAGATGTAATGAAAAGACCGCTAATTTCAAATTTACAAGGTAGCTAGCCCAAAAAAAATGATTCACAAATCATTTTAAACGACAACGTTTGACTGCATATTCACGACGATAAATAAATACGATCTACGAAAAAAAGTTAAAGCACAGCAATCAACATTTTGTTTTCATCGTCTACTGAACTCAAAGATTTAAAACCGTGACACTGCTTAAATAAAACAACCTTTTCAATGATGCTGTCCGTTTAAAGAAAATACGTCCAATGTAAAAGTTTTGACCGCTAAAAGGGGAAGGTAGCCGGAGAAAACTATCACCCAGTATATCGACTTGACTAAAAATTTAAAAAATAATACGCCATAGTAATCCAAATAAATGTGCCAAATTTTAACGCGATCGGTTATTAATTAAATTAATTTTAATTTTGACTTTGAAGGCCTGTAACTCAAAAACCAAACATTTTTTATTTAACTTTTTTTTCGTAGTTCGTATTTATTTATCATCGTGATTATGCAGTCAAACGTGGTCGGTGAAATTTGCTGATACCCTGTATAACGTCAAATAACAAGAAATGTTTTTTCACGTATTTAGAGAAAATAGTTCATGACATACTTGTTAAAAATATCTATGGTAATATTAAGAATACCTACCTAAATTGGAAAGATAGGTATTAAATGTCTAACATATTGTATTCATTGGAATATTCTGCACAGATTGAGTTCTACAACAATTTACAGAGACTTGGTAGTGTTTTCCGATATAAGACGGTATATTAAGAGTTATATTAGATAAAAATAAAACAGGGCATCAGTCTGTTCTCGACGACTCATATAAGCAATCAATGTCGACAATCTTCTAAAGAAATTATATTAAAGTTTTTTCTAATAATTGCTACAAATTTGATATTGTACGCATCAGTTAGTTACCTTAAATTCTAAAAATCTTAAAAAATATTTTGATCTGATTCAGTTAAGAAAATATAAATATTTTGGAGGAACCAAAGCACAGAAGCGAAACTTGATTTACTATGCAATGCACGTATTGAGAGTACAATGTTTTTAAAACCTCGGGTGACATAAACTATCTGCTATTTCTTAACATGAACCTTTACAACCTACTGCCTTTTGTAACAACTAATCTATATGACAATTAAATAGCATTTTGCTGTCGAAAATAATCACGAAGTTTTTGATTTCAGATACCTGTTCAATGTTAAGTCAAAAGAATACTTATCAATAGTTTCTAATGGTAGTAATAAATCTGTGTTAAGAGTTTATTCATTGAACTATTCTCAATGAATCTATCAAGATCGGTCTAGAGAACTAGAGAACAATCGGCAAAACTACTTATTTTAGAAAATGTTTTTATACCATCTGCTTACATTGACAATTGTCTGTGTTGAAAACATGAGTAGATAACAAAAAGCAGTGGCCCCAAATGGGAACCTTGAGGCACATCAGAAGTAGTTACATAAGGAGCAGAATGGAAGAACGAACACCAACAATGTAGTCTCAAATATATACCGACATTGTGGTTCACTCCAAAGCTTTAGTAAAATCGATGCAGACAAAGTCCACCTGTATTTGACAGAGCAACGTACTCAATAACATTCAGAATAGTTTTTCAAATTTGTTTCTATCGACTTATTAGGCAAAAAAAAAAACGTGTTGTGATTCAATCATACTGGGATTTACTTTACTGGAAAGATTATTCACTACAAATCGACACGTCTTAGACAACCACCTCCTCGTAGAATAGGCCGAGGTCGCGCCACTGACCTCCACCGTACCGATATCGAAGCCCGGTCGGTTGCAGACACTTCTTCAGTTGATATCAAAAGTCCTGCTGGGGCGTTTGGAAGACTATAGAGCTACCAGTCAGTCTAGTCGCCGCAGTATGGCGATCGCCATCACGATATGCCGCTTCTGCATGGTGGTGCTCCTGGTCGTCCTGCCAGGACAGTGCGCCCCCAGATCGAAGGGCAGCAAGAGCGGCCACCGGAGCGCCCCCCAGACGGTGTACGACCAGAAGCAGACGGGGGATTATAATATCCAGTTGCACTTGAAGGATTTCCAGATCATTGCTTTATTGGGGGATGACTACTTTGGAGGGGTGAGTTTCGATTTTTTCTCTCTCACAGTGTGTCCTGTTTCAAGGAGAAGACTTTATAGTTTTTTCTTTATTAAATAATTTTGCTTCTACTCAATTGTACAAAAATATAGTTTTAAGTGGGTTAATATATACAGGGTGTCCCCTATTAAGAAATGCTCTTTTCCAATAATTAACGTGTACAGGGTGATCGTCTTAATCATTAATCAGTCTTACATTTTGGGGATTTTGCTTAATCAAAAAATGATCTATAACATATTTACGTTTCTGAATAATTAAGTAGGCGTTGTTGGGTAAAAAAAATATTTTTTCTGTATCGGTAAACTGCCTATTTCGTACAGTATATCCAGAGATTTCATTGAGAAAATTTGTTCAAAATTAAAGTTTATTCCTACATATTTGGAATAAATCAACCGACTTTGATTTTTCTATGTAGATAAAATGGTATTTTTGTGTAAGAGATCAAGAAAAACATTATTAGAAGCTGCTTATAATTAAAATTCATATTAGAGTCAAGTTTTATGACAATTTTTTTAAATTTTAAAATTAAATGATTGATCAAGTTAAGAAATCAAAGACTAATTATTATCTTTGCCACATGCACATAAATTTTAATTTTGATTAACTTTTTCTACAAAATATTTCGATATATGAAAAAGGAACTTTACCTAGATAGAAAACAATTAGTTTGGCTCTAACTAGGCCTTAATTATTTATAAGCAAAAATAGTTTATTACTTCCTAATTATACAAGATCGTTTCCCAAATTGCAAAACTTATAATTTTTTTATTTGTTCTGGCACCTACAGCTAAGATTCTCAGGATAAAATCAACGTCTCGTATGTCCTATATTTTTATATATACTATTAAATAAGAGAAAAAATTCGTTCGAGTAATAAGCGAACTGATAAGTTAATTTTACGTAGCCACATCTTTTAATAAGATGTATTTTCAAATATTTTTTAAATCTCACGTAAAATAGTGCTGGATTAAAAGTATACGAATCAGAAAGGATAGTTTTGGTCAGCAAGGTATGTTTTCCGTAATAATTTGTTTTTTTTCAAAAGTCTGCCAAAAAATTTAAACTAACTTTACTACTACTACTACTACTACTACTAACTAATTTGACTAACTTTAAATAAAAAAAACTAAACAGTTTTACAGATATTAAAAAAAAATAATTTTAACAAGTCCGTATCTCGAAAATGAAGCGTTCAACTATCTATGCTCATATGAACATTTTTCTTATTTTAAGATATTTTATAACTAGATAAAGGGACACCCTGTATGTACAGCGAAACTGTTATAAAAAAATAGAACTCAAAAAAAATTTTTTTTCCACACTTTATACATGATGTCAGAAAAATAGTCTAACGGGGATTCTGGTAAAAATTTTGTCATGGTAATTTCCTTTAACATCGTTTTTCATGATACAGGATGTTAATCAAGTACGTCACAAACTTTGAGTGCTTTTATACCAGATAGGTTATAAAAACATATCCTCAAATCTATAGTTTTTGAGATGCAGGAATTTGAAATTAAAAAAAATATACTTTTTCAAAATATTTTTGAATAACGTTTCATACAGAAGATGAAATTTAGAATAATGAATTGCCTAATTAAATGTTAAAATCCGTTTAAGTCGGATGAAAGTGTATGATTGGGAGAGATACAACGAGGCAAAGAGCCAGTTTCACTGAAATTCATGATTAAATTTTTTGAAAATATGATCACTACTTATCATTCTTTATAGTGCTTCCAAGAAAAAAGCATATTTTCTAACATTTTATTCGAAAAACAAGCCATTTTTGATATATTAGTTACTTATTTTAACTCTCATTGATATTACCATGAATTTAATTAAACCTAAAATAATTGTAGAGCTACTTGTTCGCAAATAAAACATGTATCTGCCTCTTTTTCTAAACGTACGATTTCAAATAAAACGTTATCATGAAATGTCTGAGAATACAGCTGAGGCAGTTTTTTTCTGCCCATGTGTGGTGTTTCCAAAAATGTATCCTTTTTTGGAAACACCACAGAGAGTTACAAGAATGTCCCTGCTATCTCTTAAGAAAATTCCTACGTCATTGATTTTTTCAGACTTGTCATAATGGGGTTTTATTTAAAATGGCGTTTCTAGTAAAGAGATCCTATGAATTTTTTATGGAAAAACGAGTAGATCTAGAATTATTTTTTATTTTATTGTTTGGTAACTCCAATGAAAGTTAAAAAAATAATAAATAGAAAAATTGCTTCAGAGATATTTTAAAAAAAATATATTTTTTTAATTCCATCACCCTGTATCTCGAAATTTACATAAATTTTTAGATCTATGTTACATAATCTTTTTGACTTAAATTCGCTCAAAGAATCAAATTTGTCCAAGTACTTAATTAACATTTTGTGTACCTCTTAAGTTTTATTTTTATTATCAACAAATAGAGCAAAATCTGAATAATTCAGATATTTCCAGAGTTAAAGTAAGTCTTGCCATATTTGTTTTCACTTATTTTACAAAAATTTATATTTTTATATATGTTTTTTAATCAATATCTTAATTTAACTATATATGCACATGGTTGGGTGGAACATTTATATGTATTTGAAAATAGGGCCTATCCTGTTATTCAAAAAATTATTTTCGACGCCTAACATGACCCATATGAAAATACCTTTTGTTAAATATGGTTTCCAAATTTTCAGGATTACGATTACAACTACGACTACTCAGATTTCACCTTAAAACCAAGCACCCACAAACCATCAACTGAAGCTGGATCATCGCCGCCATCACCCACCACTTCAGCTCCAGAGAAACCATCTTCAACATCAACACCATCAGTCGCGGTTTCAATCTCCACAACACCCTCCAAAGAACCACCGGTAAGGAAACAAGAAACACCCGCGACAAACAAAAATCCAGACAAACCAGCTAAACCGGAAGCGGAAAAACCTTCAAACGAGATGGAGAAACCTTCAACTACGTCTGCCAACGTCACTGAAGAAGTGGTCGAAATAGTAGAAAGTTCTACCGTACCACAAAGAGAAAAATTCGAAGAACCCAATTCACCTGGTAAGATAAAAGTACAAATCATCGAAACCCCAGTGGGGATAGTACCTGGCGAGGTGTCCGACAAAGATAGCATTATTAAGGAAGGGGAGGTACTGCATATAAAGAGGTGCGCAGCGGGATTCGGGAGGGATAAGTTGGGGAGATGCAGGAGGTTGAGGAGGCCAGGTTCCAGTTCACCTCACTTACCGTAAGTAGCGCAAGATGTACAGGATGTAATATTACAACGTTCAGAATGAAGGACCGTTTTCCACGTCAAAATTTAAGAACCTTTTTTCTATAAACATTTGCCTTCGTTTTTAAGTGTGTACAGTGTTGAAATTTAAGAAAATATATGATATAAATATTCTAAACATCTGATGAATAAATGCAGATGTTCTGGTTAAATTTTCCTTAATAAATTATGGCACTTCACTGGGAAAATTTTTTTTTGCATCTGAACAGATTTTGTAGAATCATTTTATCAAAACCGAAAGTTATATAAAAAAGTCAAAAAGTCATATTTGTTCAAATTAAAATTTGAATTTCGATAAAATATTTTTTATTCCAGTAGCATGCTTTAATTTATATTTAAGGAAAATGTATCCAGCAAATGTCACAGTTACTTCACTTATTTGTGCAAACAAAATTCGACTACAATATCTTTATTTGTTTAGATGTTTAGAAATATAACTTTTATTTTTCAAAAGTGCAACATTGTATCATTTTTGACTCGTTGTAGTGTCACACCCCTAGATACAAGGTGTTGGCAAATTAATTTTTTTTTTAATTAAATTTGTTTATACGTTTTTAAAAAGTAGTAAAACTAATAGCTTCTGGTTTCTTTTCAGGTATAGTTTTAGTAGATTAGCTAACAGTTTGGCGTCAAGGCTTAGGCAATCATCATCAGAAGAATCTCTACCTTCATCAGAATCCTCAGAAGACTAGTGATTATTATTTAAATTTTAGCTTTAATTTAATTTGTGGTATATTTATTTATAACTTATTATATTTAATAAAAATAAATTAAAACTTTCAAACTTTTTAAGAATATTTTCCTAACGTATAAAATGTAATTTTACATAATTTCTAACTTTTCTCTCATAATCACCAATAAGACCAAGATCTGTAATATCATTACTTCTACTGAGCAATCGATAGATGATATAAAAATAGTTGAAAAATGTACTCTTCTTTCACAAAATTACAGAGAGTCAATGACATTCCCTTAGAAGAATTATAATTTTTATGCTCTTAGGTATTTTAATTATACCAGTAACATATGTAAAACGATGCACTAATGTAATCAGATTGTACATTAATTTGATGAATTATGCATAAGATGACTGCATTACCAAGTTGTTTTTACCTCAGCAGCATAAATAATAAGTGGGTAGCCACAGTATTCTACTTAAGTTCCCAGAATACAAAAAAGTCATCAACCTGCAACCTCTGATATTACAGTGTCTTTTTTGTACTCTTACACGATGCACAATTAACATAATTTTATAAATTATTGGTTGTGAACCAGAGTTGTAAAAACTCTGGAAATCTCGATACTGTATCGCTTATTACAGTTAAAACTCGTTCCAGGAGTAGTCTTCTATACATTTCATTTTAAAAGTTCTCATATGATTTAAAAGAAATTATTAACATCAACACACAAATGTAAATACATATTTTGAGCATGTTGATGCTGAGTACGTCGCGCAATGATGAAAATTAGTAAAACGTTGACAAATGTATAATTAATAGAAAGAAATGAACATATATTGACGTTTTAAATGTAAGTCAATGGGTCAGCTAAATATAGAAATTTAAATATGTGTCTATATTTAACGTGACGTGAGATAATTTAAGACTTTTGCATATTTGGCAGTTCAGAATGTGAATGACTGTGAATTAAGTAAATGCAATTTTATTACTTTTTTTCGAAAACGAATATTAATTAAATTATATTATTTTAGTATTTTTTAGCCAGCATTTTCAAGAGAAACTGTACATTTAAAAATAACGCATGCAGTTTGGTATCCACATGACAGTTGATTCTTTTGGAAGTCTTCACATATGTTTCTGGTGGTCAAAATACTTAGGGTGGTTAGTGTCTCGTCCTTGGAACGCACCATTTTTTGTGTGTCTATGTTATTAGAGGAAATAGATAGGGAAGTAGATTTTCATAACTATTAATATGTCATTAAGGAAAAGATAGACTGTTCAGATTGAACCGAAACAGCATTGTTTTTGATTATTATTTAAATGGCTATTCATTTAAACTTTTTATGTATACCTAACTAAACACGTTTTTTAAAACAATTTTTTATGACTTAGGTTATACTTTATTATAAATAAACGCAAAACGACTTACCACTGATCTGGAGCCAATTTGTTAAATTTCCCAGGAGGATGAGCATTAGTCTTGTCTTGTTCATGTATTCTCAAATTATGAAATCAGTGAGGAATATTATTCCTCCAATAAAGGAATTTTGGTCTTCCTCGGCTCAACAACACAAGATAAGCTGAAATAAAAATACTACCTATGTTAATTTTTTAAAATATCTTTCGAAAGGAAAAACGAACAAAATAAAAACACAAATTTGTAGCTTTGATAAAGATTGGTGTGTCACGTCGTTTCAGAAAACCGAAATTAAATGTGACAACTAAATGCGGTTTACAGACAAAATTAAAAAATATAGTAATGTACAGGATGACCCATTTCAAGTTAACAAAATTATATGATGGCCAGAAGAAATGGGTCAGCCTATATAATCAATCGAAAACAGTTTCAACCTTAATTTGGACCATTTTTATACAAGATGTTTCCTAAGTACGATCAGAGATCAGCGACAAATACTAAGAGTACCTTCTGTACGTAAAATTGAATGGAGAATAGGTTTAGTCAAAATTGTCATACCACGCGATAGAAAAAAGTTATGGTTATTTAAACATTACACAAAAAAAAAGTAAAGTAAATATTTGAGTTTATCATCATCAATAGTCCCAGTTTCAAGAATTTCGTCAAATTGCCATGTTATTGAACAAAAATATAATCAAAATACCAAACAAAAATTTTTTCTTGGACGCCCTGTATCTTAAGAACCAATCCGTTGCGGGCCCATGTTCATATGAACTTTTTATCTTAAACTTAGTCAAAGATTCATCCTTTAAGGTTTGCACAAATCTTAATAAACACCCTGTATATGATGACTTAGCACTAATAATATAATAACAACTAATTAGTCTTATACTTACTTACTTATGTCGTTTGAGTTAAATAAAATCGAGATACCTAATACATAATTAGATTTATCTGTCTGTATAATGTTGTAAACTACAGGGCGATTCACAAACGGTGACCAAAAATGAAACCTGCATTCTTTGGTGAATTTTAAGGGGTTTGTCCTAGGTATTAACTAGAGCGCTTCGTTAAAAAGATATATGGTGTTAAACTTAAAAAAATATTTGTAATGTTTTTTAATAATTTAAAAACTAGTACCTACGTGAAATAATTTGAAATTGGGCACATGCGTATTTATGTAAACATTGTCCAAAATCTGAGGCCTTTTTCTAAAATTTAGATGCTTCAGTGGCATACTTTCTAAATAAAATGGTAGGCCACTGTTTTACGGTAATAATCATGTTATTTTCGAATTCGTCATTCGTGTACAAATTACTACACCCTTATGTTTTTCGACATAAGATTTTCGAGTAAAATTTAAAAAACGAACTGAAACCACCGGACACTGACAGCTTAGTTTTGGAAAGAGCATAAAATGTTCACCTTAGTGGTTTTTTGACCATGCTGATATTTTAACACCGAAATTGTTGTCTACTTGCAATCTTAAAAATTTCGCGCATTTGTCTGAGTTTGCTAAACATCACCGACAGAAGAACCTCAGCTGTGTTCAAACAGTGAAATGAAAATAAAAACACTGTGTGTTAGCTAAGTTATCAATTAATAATTTTTTTTTTTCACACCAATTTACAAAACACAAGTTGTTCATATGTTTCAACTAAGTGGCATCCGCAAAACTGATATTAGCAAAACTACAGAAGACTCGTCTTAAATGAGACACCCTGTGAAAACAAAAATTCTAAAAATACGATAATTTCTCAAGAATACATTTTGAGGGTTTTGGAGGACTTCCGCCTTAAAACTTTTTTATGCATCCACCCCATGTCCAGAAGCCCTGGCCCTTGTATCTTCTGTCTGCTTCTTCGTGGCTCTGTGTATGTGCTGCAGCATTGAGGTCGCTCATCTCGTTCCCGTTAGAGACGAGGCACTTCACTTACGGTAAAACGAGTCTCCGGCCAAAAGGAGGCTATCTGCCCGGACAGTTGACAGTCGTTATCCACTCAGTGCACGGCCAACATGATGAAAATTTTAATTCTGATCGCCGTCGCGGCGGCGGCGAGCGCTTCGCCTATACCTGGGGGCAAGGAAGTGAGCGAAAGGGTGCTGTACGACCAGAGGCAACAAGGTAACTATAGCGAAAGCTAGGATTATATAGTATATGGGTATATCTAAAGTAATGTATTTCGTATATCAAAATTAATCGCAAATATGTGATATTTGTTGCAAAACATGTTTTATTTATAGAAAGGAATAAATATATAATTATGTTTAGAAAAAAATCTCAGTCATTTTAAATCTTGGTATGATGAGTTGTTATTCACAAGGTATAACTAAAGTAGTTGGGCAAATTTTAATGGAGAATTCTATTTACGCCACAAAAAAAAAGATTCGTAGGAAAAGTGTTTATTTGATTTATTATTATGGTTATTTCAAAAATAATAATAATATGACGCTTTTAACAATAATTACTTGAAGATAACACATTTGTAGAAATATAAACTATTATTACTATATAAAGTCGATTATTTGAATTTTAGTGACAGCTTACTCAGTCTTTTCCCATTAATATCTTCCTCAATTCATATATATGTGTTATAATGGCTTTGAATCTAATACTCTCTTAGTTACTTCTGGTATACCTCAAGGACCTAACCTTGGACCATTTTTTTTTGTTTTATTTATTAATGATCTATCTTTAACACTAAAATCTAATCATTTGTTTTTTGTCGGTGACTTAAAACTATTTTGGATATACCTACATTACATTAATGATTATTTAATCTTACATAAATGTCTAGATGTAATTACTAAATACATAGTGTTTTGATAATCAGTTATCCATATTGTTCTTTACACATAAAACTTGAACCTCTTTTATTTAACTATAATCTTAACGGTAAATTTTCAAATGATACAGTAATGTTAAAGATCTTGGAGTTATCATGAACGAAACATTTTCTTTCATTAATCATTTACTGTAATTAGATTACATTAAATGGTTAATATTTGCTATTAGAAACTAGTCGTCTTTGATTACTGTAGCATTATTTGGTAGGTACTTTCTATAGAATTTATTCCTTTTTGAACTATGTAAATGCGACATTAAAGTTTGGTGAAGCATTTTAACTACACCCTGCATATCTAATAAGTAAATTATGTTTAAATTTCAAACTAAGAAGTGCTGCAGGTCTTCTAAAACCATGTAATAATAAAGTATCATCGAAAAAACGAAAATATTATTCCTATAATGTTGTTTTCTTTCAATCTGTTCAAAATTGGAGACACAAATAAGTTATTAATGCACCAAACTTATCAAAAATATTTAATAACATGGAATGTAAACAATTTTAATTAAAATATTTATAAACATTATATTTAATCATATCTTTGTTCCGTACATCAAGACAACGAATTGATAAACTGGGAAAATTAGAATATATATTTTCTCATTACATTTGGCACACAATATTACGTCTTAATTTTGATCTTTCTATGACCTAAAATGATATTACTGGCCTCATTTTCACGAACGTAAGATATGATAAAGATATAACTACTACGACTGACATAATTGCTCATCGAAGCGCCGAATTTTCACTTCCAAAGTGACACATTTTCTATACGAAAATTGAAATGAACATATAAAATTTCTAAATAATTTTCGTCAAAATTTTATGGTTATATTTATATTAAAATTGTTTTTTCTTTTNATTCCGGAGATATAAACAAAAAATCAATTTTTTTTTAACAACTTTAACAACCTGTATCTCTAAAACGAGGCCGTTCTAGACCTATGTTTACAAGGCAAACACCTATTATTTTAAAGAGATCTATCTGCCCTCGAAGTTTCCTGCATAAAATTCGGACCACCCTGTATATGTGTTATAATGGCTTTGAATCTAATACTCTCTTAGTTACTTCTGGTATACCTCAAGGACCTAACCTTGGACCATTTTTTTTTGTTTTATTTATTAATGATCTATCTTTAACACTAAAATCTAATCATTTGTTTTTTGTCGGTGACTTAAAACTATTTTGGATATACCTACATTACATTAATGATTATTTAATCTTACATAAATGTCTAGATGTAATTACTAAATACATAGTGTTTTGATAATCAGTTATCCATATTGTTCTTTACACATAAAACTTGAACCTCTTTTATTTAACTATAATCTTAACAGTAAATTTTCAAATGATACAGTAGATAATGTTAAAGATCTTGGAGTTATCATGAACGAAACATTTTCTTTCATTAATCATTTACTGTAATTAGATTACATTAAATGGTTAATATTTGCTATTAGAAACTAGTCGTCTTTGATTACTGTAGCATTATTTGGTAGGTACTTTCTATGGAATTTATTCTTAAAGACCTATTAACGGCACGATCTTAACTTTTTGAACTATGTAAATGCGATATTAAAGTTTGGTGAAGCATTTTAACTACACCCTGCATATCTAATAAGTAAATTATGTTTAAATTTCAAACTAAGAAGTGCTGCAGGTCTTCTAAAACCATGTAATAATAAAGTATCATCGAAAAAACGAAAATATTATTCCTATAATGTTGTTTTCTTTCAATCTGTTCAAAATTGGAGACACAAATAAGTTATTAATGCACCAAACTTATCAAAAATATTTAATAACATGGAATGTAAACAATTTTAATTAAAATATTTATAAACATTATATTTAATCATATCTTTGTTCCGTACATCAAGACAACGAATTGATAAACTGGGAAAATTAGAATATATATTTTCTCATTACATTTGGCACACAATATTACGTCTTAATTTTGATCTTTCTATGACCTAAAATGATATTACTGGCCTCATTTTCACGAACGTAAGATATGATAAAGATATAACTACTACGACTGACATAATTGTTCATCGAAGCGCCGAATTTTCACTTCCAAAGTGACACATTTTCTATACGAAAATTGAAATGAAGATATAAAATTTCTAAATAATTTTCGTCAAAATTTTATGGTTATATTTATATTAAAATTGTTTTTTCTTTTTAATTTATTGAGTTGTACAGTAAGACTTATTAAAAACATCCCTCTTTTTTTTTGGGGGAGGCACAATTCGAATTATTTTATTATCATGTAAAAATGTACTACTTGTTCTTCCAATTATGATGATCCAGTTGGTAACCCATGACTTGCTACGATTTTTCTTGGAAGCGATTTTTCCATTCCATTATCTTCTGCAGATTTTATTCTATTTCTTTAAACGATAACATAACTAAATTACTGTTCAAAATGTGCACATTTCATTAATATACAGGGTGTTTACAAACTTGGAGGTTAAATAAATATAGGCGCAATATAGTAGAAACATGAAATTAGATATTTTTTATATTTTTGGTATCAAAGAACATTGTTTGACATCATTTGAAAAGACTTTCATAAAAACTTTTTGAAATTATTTGAATTAGCTTTAATACCTTTAAAATACAATAAATTTTTTAAATTCAAATTTTAAACCCTGAATTCAGTCTTTTAAATTATGGCCGAAAAAAATAGATTTTTTTTTATTTAAACTAACTCAGTGTGCGTGCGTGAATATGGCCTTTGCTGGAAACACGAACAAGAACAATCACAAATAGCACAATATTACAAGCGTAACATTTAATTTCATAAATAGTAATTTATTTAGGGAATGTGGATATGTCTCCGCGACCCCTGATCTAGATTTAATTTTGTGCACTCCATTTATGATTCCTACATTAGTTCTGATGACATTCAACTTATTCAGGTGGTTTAAAACGCCTGTTTCAGGTTTATCCGTGAAATTATAAAACATACAGTTGCTGCATTATACTTATTTGTATCTGTATCATAAAATTATAAATTTCAAAGCATATCTCATTATCTTTATTGTAAAGTAAACTGATGTACATAATCTTCATGGAAGGTTTAACGGTAGATTAACATCTCTGATCCATAAGACTGAACAATTTTAACGCTATTTTTCTCATCAAATAATTAAAATTTATAATTCTTTATCGTCATTAGTAAAAAATTTGTCTGTCATTCGTTTTAAATCTGATTTTAAACAAGATCTTTTCCATAACCAGTAGAATATTTATCCTTTTCACTATGTACCTACTGTTTTTTGCTTTAATGTCCTCCATCTACTTGTTTGTTATAGTTTATATGTTTAGACCAATATGTCATTATTAGGATGTAATTTAATTAAATTATATATTTATGATTAAGATGAAAAACAGAGAACCTTCTTGTACCAGGAAACAGGAGTTCATTTGATCCTTGACAATTTCTATAGTTATACATTTTTTATGATAATATTTTTTTGTATAAACTCCATTGTTGCGAAACAATATTTCATTATTAATCATTTTTTCAGGAGAACTAAACGTTAGAGCGGATCTCAAAAACTTCATGATCCTTATCATCCCTACGCCCTCCGTACCGAACGCTTCGAACACGGCCACTCTACTGGACCTCCTCTCCAAATCTCTACCTTCCAGGCCACACCTGAAGCGGATCAAACCCACGTTGGTACCGACACCCGACGCGGCAGAAGAGACCCAACACTTCATCGAAGCCAAATCTGCTCCCTATCACGTAGACATCACCAAAACCAAAGAGCAGTTGGCTAAACTACGCCCCGGCAATGAGGAAATCTTACTAGCAACCTCCCCGAACATCGCTCTGGTCAAATCAGGGTCGGACTCGCCCTCCGTGAGGATGTCGAGGTCTTCAAGGGCGTACGTCTTCACCGCGCCGACAGAGGAAGAGTACACGGTGACCAAAACCGAGGATGTGAAGAAGGTGGTGAAGAAAGATGGCAAAAAGTTTATGAAAGAGGCTCCCACTAAACATACCTTGGAACTGTTGGGGGCGGAGAATGAGCAGTGCGGTCCGGAAATGGAGAGGGATTCGAAGGGGATTTGTAGGACAAGCAAGACTTTATAACTGTTTAGATTTTCTATATTTTGTATGCCTAATTTATTTGTAATTAATTTATTGTAATAAAATTAAGTTTTATATTAATTGCATTTGTTTAAATGGAAAAGAATTATTATAAACTGTGAAAAAATGGAATGCACTGAAATTTGATACAGATAATTTTTAAGTTTTCTAAATGCGTCAGTGTTGTTAGTTTTTGACAATATACTAGATCTCAATAGCTAAGGCTTTTCCTTGTGACACTTTATGACATCTTTTTTGAGGTTATGTTCCTTACAATTTAGTTATGTCATAGTCATATAATAATACTAATGCGTATATAATTTAATTTTGCATTAGAAGGTACTCTTGGTCCATACCTAAAAGATAGATCAAATTAAGCTGAATTAGATCAAGTGATCTCAGTATATTTTTTTCTTAATCATTTATCGTCTTTTCTTTTATTCCATTTTAACTACCTACCTAATACTAAAAACTAGTTTAAAACTGGTCAGTCAATTGCATTTGTCTCAAAAACAGAGATTTCGGCGGTGAATACACAATTTTTATGTAAAATTTTTGACAATGTAGCAGGTACTTATAAAAATGTCGTCAAACGTCAAGGTCGCTATCAAATGTCATTGGAAAAGGTCTAAAAGATAGTTAAAAATTAGTAACACTTACGTATTTCAAATCTCAAAAACTTACTCGTACTTATTCTAACTAATCTTAATTATTCTTTTGAACTCTTCTTCGTAACTATTCTTTTGAAAATTTTATTTAAAAAAATCATCTCTGATCTACATTTTTTTATTACTTTGAAAAAACTATTGAAGATGTAACTCATTTTGTGAAAATATTTCAAAAAGTGATTATTTGCATTAAGTACTTAAAAAAAATTGTAAGAACCTAAGTCCTAATAAATAACGTAATTCTAGAGAAAAGGTCATTCAAATTTTTCAAAAATATATTCTTATGCAAATAAAGATAAGTAATATTTCTCTTATAATGGCCCAAAAAATCCAGACCCCGATTTTTTTTAAGTACTTACTTAATCAAATTCCACCCTGCATTTAAAATTGAAGCATGTTACATCTTGTATAAAAGTATTAATATCCGTCTATATCAACATTTTGTAAAAAATAGAATATGAGAAACTCAAATTTAAAATGTAAACGTCCTATTCCATCATTAATCTAACTCACCCTGTAAACAGCAATTTAAAATTTTCAATTAGGTGGGTAATTATTTCAACAAAATTAATTCAATACAACTTCATACACATTCTTACGCTTTGAATATTGGATAGTATTTTTTTACGCATTCATAAAATATTGTCGTCTAAAATATAAAATGGCAGTAGTGCATATAGGGAATTTCTGTTTATCAAATGGATGAAATATTAATGTTGTCGTTGTCGTAGACGGCGCCACTGATACGAAAAACAGTGATGTGGCTTTGCGAGAAAGTAGTTGTCAAAGTATGACAAAATGTGTAGTTTTAAGTCAATATATTTTGTTATATTTATATTAAATCTATATAAAACGCACGCCGAAATATCGGACAAGAGGTTATGCGTGGATCAGGAATGCAATGGTAATGATTCCATCCGAAAACTGCCTTAACCTATTTGACATATGCCCTAACTTTCAACTTGCTTTCTTTTAGAACCCGTGTCTCTCGCAAAAACTCTTCTGCGATATTCCAGTCCTGACCCTAGAATACTATCGTTTGCCCCCAACACAGAAATAACAATTTACAGCAAAGAAGCTGGGTCCGAAACGAATTTATGGGGTGCCGTAATTAAAGGAAAAAGGGGCTATGTACCCAAACACTTAGTTAGGGAATATAAAGTGTATAAAAAACCAACTCTATTAGTAGATACGGAACTAAACCAAAAACCGCAAGTGCCTGAGGATGGTAGTAAGAAGAATATCGATCCTGATAATGTTAAACAACCATATGAGATTGTAGATGGTACCACTATTTATTTAAACCCTCAAGATAGTATTACTCCAAGTAGTACAGAGAACCCAGTCCTGTCAACTTCTTTGCCTCCAATTAATAATGTAGATAACCAGTCTGCCCCAGGTATTAAACAATTTAAAATTATTATTAAAAATCTTCGTTACGAATGGTTATTAGTTATATTTTTGTGGAATAAATAACTATACTACATTTTGAATTTTTGTAGTCTTAAAGTTTTATCTCATAATTTGATATATAAGAAATCACTTTACCAATTACCAAGTACATATGTTTGGTTTAATTTATATATGCACACATAAATTTTTTGTTAATTTTGCGCTAAATTAAATATTTATTCATAAGAACTTGCAAATTTAAATTTTATGCAGATTTGTATTTTATTTAAATTACACAATCGGGAGAACTAAAATTAGTTAAATAAATAAATCCATTCAATAAATTTATTTTTCTTATTCCAATAACAGATTTATTTTTAGGCAATTCAAAAGAAAAAGACATTAGTAAAGAAACCAACATCCAAAAATCAGTTCTTGAATCAGTTTCATCATCTTTTTCCAAATGGATCAATGACGATACAGATTCCAAGGAAGTCGAGGCAGAAGATGAGGATGATGATGATGAAGAAGGGGATGAAGATGAAGATGATGATGAAGAAGAGAGTTCAGAGGATGATCTTCAAAAAACTGAAAATAAATTGCCAGAAGAAATCCAAAACGTGGCACAAGATGTAAACTCGTTACACAATTTACCACCCGGAATCAAAATTTCTCCTTACAGCCTTGAATTAGAACAGCCACTGGATAGTACTAATGATGTAAACAAAGAAGATAAAGAACAAAAACCGCTCCAGGAATCGAGTAATTCTGAACCTATTTCAGCACCAACGAATAATGGAGAAAGTCTTGAAGCAACAAATGAATCAACAGAAAAACAATCAGCTGAAACAGTGAAGTCTGAGAAAATTGAAGAAACTAAATCAAGTGAATCTGAAAAGAATGAAGAATTTAATAAAGAAACACAAGGTACAATTGATATAAAGTCTGGAGATATAGAATCAACAGTTGTAAATGTTCCTGAAGATACAAAACCGATTGAATATGAAAAAAATGAAGAATTAAATAGAGAGGCAAATATAAAATCTGAGAGTTCAGCTGAGTCAGTTACAGAACCTTCCATAGGTATAGAGTCAGTTACAGAACCTTCTGCAGGCGTAGAAGAAGAGCAGCTGCCTTTTCTTGATGTAACGACCCCAGACCCTTTGGAAATAAAAGAACAAGGAGATACAAAAACTGAACAAGTTATTGATGTGCCATCTTCGCAAGATATACAAGAAAATAAAAACATAGAAGTTGATTCCTCTGTTACAAATGAGAATGTTTCAGAACTCCCAGAAGCTACTGCTTCAGTTACATTAGATTCACACTCTGATACAGAGATTCAAAAACTAACAGCTGACGAAGGAGAAAATTCTCCGGATAACACACAAAATGATTTAGGTGGAGATAAACAAACCGAAAATAAAGAAGAAATATCTGATGAAACAGTAAAAAACATCGACTCAAACTACAACCAAAATGATTTTAATGATGTGTCTACTGAAAATACCGAAGAACAGCAAAATAATGTTGCAAATGAAGTACCCGATCATGAAGAAAAAATTGGTAATACCATAGAAGATCAAAATCTTGATAGCACATCTACAGAAAATGTTGATACTTCCAAAGAAATTGTTGAACCAGTTGTGGGTAATAAAGAAGAAATATTCATTGATAATGAAATGAATGACCAGGAACAAATTGAAGAAATTAATAATGATGTTAAGGAGGAACTTCAAAGTAGTGAGACTGAAAATATCGTTGAAACTTCCCCAGAAGAGCCAGTTGAAATGCCTCCAGAAGAAAAACATGAAATCCCTCCGGAAGAGTCAAACCAATTGTCTGAAGAAGGTGGAGGAATCTGGTCAGGGCTGTTTTCATTTTTCGGAGGGAGTGACAGTACGAATATTGAAACTAAGGAAGAAGAAAATGGATGTGCATCTCAATATTCCGAAAACCCCTTTATTTCTGAAGACCATTGTGATGCCAGCTCAGAATCGTGTAATGTAAGCAAACAAGAAGCAGTGCTAAGTAAAAGTGGATTTTTCGACAACATTGAATTGAAGTTTAACTCGGATTTCTTCCTCTTACTCATTACCACCGCAGGATCAGTTATTATATTCCTATTTGTGTATATGGCTCTCGACAGACACAAGAGAGAAGCACCACTAGTTGCGAGAGTAAATAAACTCGAAAAAGAACTGCTTATCACGTTAAAAGAAAATGAATTGCTTCAAGAGAAAGGTACCTCGGCAGTGCAAGAAGTAGAAAGTGTACCGAATGAAGTTGTCGAACAACTTACTCAAAGATTAGCAGAAGCTCAGCTTACCCAACAAGCTCTACAGGAAAAAGTTACAGACCTAGAGGTGCAGCTTGAAGACAAGGCTGCACTTGAGGACCAAATAGAGGGTCTGGAGAAAGAACTGGAAACTAGTACTGAAGTTGGCATGGAATTGAACAGGATCATATCCGAGATGTTGGACCCTACCAACGGTAGCGATAGGCTTAGGGAGAATGTGGAACAACTACAAAGACAACTGCTTGAACAAAAAGACACCATTAACAATATAAGTGAGACCTTGCAGGAGAAGGAGGCGGAGAATCGTTTGTTACGCAACGAATTGGAGAGAAGCAAAAAAGTGGCAGGCGATCTTCAAAGCAAAGTTGACGAAATGGTGGAGAAAATTTTGAAGATCGAAAGAGAGAAAGATCAACAACAGAACAGTTTGCAAAGCGAGATTTCCATGTACCAGCAGAAATACAATGAAGCCGTCAGGAAAGAGGATGTCTTAAATAATGACATTCAGGTATGTATAGTACGTTTGATCTATTCAACATAGTATTACGTGTTTTAAATGTTTTGATCCCTCATTTTGAAGGTAAATTACAAAAAAATGAAAAGATAAAAAATTCTGAAAAAATAGATAAACTAAATAAGATGCTTTGTATTCGAGTCTTCCTAAATTCCAACGTTTCGCTTCATGTTATAGGGACTTTAATTTGTCTTTGTTCGTCTATACATTTCTGGTAGATATTTTATTATTTTGTTTATCAAAGTTAATTGTTGGGCTAATTTTACCTTATATGCAAATAATTTAGCCTCATTGTTAATAATAACGAAAATATTAACGTTTCAACATTTTTCCTTCAATAATTGAAAATCTGAAAAGTGTCTTGTTGCAGAATAACCATACGACTCAAGAAAAGTCTACTTTATGACTTATTCAATTTTCACATTAGTTCTAGAGAAATTAATTGCCAATTATCATTATATTTGAAACCATGTTAAAATTAAGAATATATTTTATATTACCATTGAGTTTATAAACTACGCTAACAGATAACAGATAAGTCAAAGTAAGGGCTGACGCTTGCTCATAAATTGTAGGTAGTCAGGATCCATTGCGATCATGCTCTCATCGACTACTACTATCCAAATAAATGAAATAGACCCGTGAGTATGGAAACTGATATTAAGAAAACGTAGGAGCGAAAAAATTGAAATTTGTACCATATACAGGCTGTTACAAATTCGCTTCTCACAACAGGGATCTCGGAAATGGTAAGAGCTACGAAGTAACGACCAACATTATGCCTTTAAAAAATCAAAGCTAACATGATTAGTTTTCGAAATATTTGAAAAAATCCGAAATATTGGAAATCCGTTTTTGTTTCATTTTAGCCTTGTTTGAGGTGATATTGGAAAAAGAACAACACTTTCTAATGGCCACTTTTTGCCCTCTATCGAATGGCATAATCAAATTTTGTATGTAACGTTTCGTCTCTCCAAAACCATCATCAACTTCATTTTTTTAAATACGACCCTAGAAATTTTATTACATTTTTTGCAAGCCTTCATAACCCCTAATACTGTACTGCCTCAGCCCAAACTTATTATTAATTTATCTAAATTTTTTATTTAGATTTCTTTGTTTATTGAATTATCGTACACTGTAAGTGTCGTTAGACCCTGTGAAATCCATCTAGTTATTCGAACTATTACCACCACACGTTACAATGAAACATTTATTATTATTAACTATTACCATCCCTTACATACATAACTCAATAAGTTGTTGCGTCAAAATTAAAACATTATTACAATTTTTATTTTATTATGACAAATTAATTCTTAAAAATGCATATGAACAACCAAAATGCCAACTGAATATTATTCTTTAAAAAATTTCAGCAAATGTTCAAAAACATTTTCGTTTTGGCATAGGTTAAAAATGAAGGTCAGTGTAATATTATCGGTATTTATTATATCTGTAACTGCAACTGTGAAAGAGCATGTCAGATGTATTTGTATGAATATCCCGAAAAAAATAGATCGGAATTTGTTTGAATTTTGAGCACTCGAGAAGCCTAGAAATAACTATGGACAAGAGAACAAAACTCTAATAATGTTTTATTTTAATGCGTGGTGGTAATAGTTTAAATAACTAGATGGATTTCACAGGGTGTAACGACACTTACAGTGTATGATAATTTAATAAACAAAGAAATCTAAATAAAAAATTTAGATAAATTTAGAACGAATACACTGAAGATGAATTTTTCGAGACAAAACGTCTGAATCTGGTTCGAGCTGAGGCAATACAGTATTGGGGGTCATGAAGGCTTGCAAAAAATGTAAAAAAATTTCCAGGGTCGTATTTAAAAAAATGAAGTTGATGATGGTCCTGGAGAGACGAAACGTTACATATAAAAATTGATTATGCTATTCGATAGAGGGCAAAAGTGGCCATGTTCTTTTTTCAGTATCAACTCAAATAAGGCTGAAATTGACTGAAAAACGGATATCCAAAATTTCGTTTTTTTTTCAAATATTTCGAATCATGTTAGCCTTGATTTTTTAGAGGCATAATGTTGGTCCCCTGATTACGCAACATTGCCCCCATTTAAGCTACTTCGAACCTCTTACCGTTTCCGAGACCCCTGTAGTGAGAAGCGAATTTGTAACAGACTGTATAGCCTCACTATTACTCTATTGTGTGCTAAAATTTCAGTTAGTTTCGTTATCTCATGTTTTAGTTATTAATGAAAATGTTGAAAAATCACGGTTTTCTGCGTACAAAATTGATACCTCTTATTTTAACTCGTAATTTTCTTGTTAATTCATAAAAAAATTCCAAATTTGTACTGACTATAAGTGGAAGTATTGTCTTTAGTACTGTGATGGTCATTTGTCTCAAAAGCTCTTCTTTTTTTATTTTTCAGCAAAACATAAGGGAGTGCTATCTGCGTAAATATTACGTTCTTTAAAAAAAGAAAAAAAACCTATAGGTAGTAAATAACTATAAAAAATCTGAAAAAAATTGTTAAAATAATACAGTTATAAAGGCTTGTACAATTTTATATACTTTGTATTAGTTATCCGGTCGTTCCCATAAGGGAGGGTGCGCGGCATGTGGAAGACGTTCAGAATGCAAGCAGTGGCAACTCAAATAATAAATTTGTAGAATAATTTTTTGGCTTGCTTTATTTTCATTTTTAATGGCTACTTGATTAAATTCTTCGAAAATCTTAGGAATTTTGTAATTTTATTTTTAATCTGTCTGGTTTAGTGTTAAATGTTACCGCAAAAAAATATTCTTGGACATGTTTTTAAAATTGTTATTGAGCCGTAAGTAGCACATTTATGTTAACCTTAATGTTAATTATGTATAAATAATATTTTCCATTACGGTTTAAGCGGTTTGAAATGTATCGCAAAATGTTAAAAAAGTGGAACAAGAATACAGGGAAACACAACATTTAATAGATATCTCTATAGATCCTTTAGTAATAAATGTGAATGATGACAATGACGATACAGATGGTGACAAGGAATTGGCTCATGATGATGAAGATGACGATGTATGTTTGTAAAATATGCCTTTATTGCCTTTAATAATGTTGACTATGTATAGGTTGCTTTGGAAAAATCTTTGTATTGTTTAAAATTCAGTACGTATTTTACAATACAAGATATATAAATAACCTACTATGAAAGTTTTCTTGATTTTTCAAGATACTATTTTTCATAACAAAAACAATAGTTTCATATTTCATAACTTCATACTATATCAAACCATTACTTTTGAGGTACAGTAGGTATCTTTGGAGGTAAAAATACAGAAATCGTCTCCATCGTCATCGATGCTTGAAGCAAGTTCGGGAAATCACATCAAAACCTTCAGCAATGCCACTGCAGCGAACCTCTTACATCGCACTCCTCGATCGGACCGTGAACGTAATTGACCATTCTGATACTGTTTTTAAGAATATCATATTTAAACTATTTTTTTAACAAATTTTTTCAGATTATTCTGCTTTGATTAAAAATAAAATAAAGAAGAGCTTTTGAAACAAATAACCTTCATAGTATTAAAGACAATGGTTCGACTTATAGTCAGTAAAAATTTGGAATTTTTTTATCAATTAACAAAAAAACTGCGACGCGTTAAAGTGGGAGGTATTATTTTTGTAGGCAGAAAACCGTGATTTTTTCAACATTTTCATTAATAACTAAAAAATGGGATAACGAACTTAACTGAAATTTTAGCACACAATAGTGAGGCTATACATGGTCGAAATTTCAAACTTTTTCGCCCCTACATTTACTTAATATCGGTTTCTAAACTCAGAGGTCTATTTCATTTATTTCGATAGTAGTTACACATTTTTCATCATGGTTTATTATATTTACCATTTCTATTATCCTATTATAACAGTTTAAGCTAAGAATTGCCTCTTTTTGAAGTACCTTTCTCAGGTCTGATGATGTCGATCCTGTTGTCCCCTGGCCACGGAGGGCCTAACTACCCCTAAACTTATGGGCAATGTCAACAATTAGACAGACCCTCTTGTTCTTTATGTCTAATGATATTACTAGCCTCTGGTGTTTCCAAAATCAAAGCTTCTATTGTTTAATTGAGAGTATTGAGACTCGATTTTTTCCTAAGTATTTAAAATGGGGAGTCAAAAATTATGTGGAGGAATCATCGGTTTATTACACTTTTAACTTGTGTATACTTCCCTATTTTATATTGCACAAGATTGGTTTTTCAAAAAGGAAGAATATTAAGATATATTTTTAAAATCAATTAGCCAAGTGATTTACAAATATCAATGCAGACTGTTACTTATGATTTACAGTAGAATAAAAAAAAGGAAGAACCACTTCAAATTTATCAAAATTTAATATCACTCTTAATCAACCATCAGTAAATGGTTATTAGGCTTTAGAGTAACTGGCAAAAATTCTATCTCGCATGTCATCAAAGATTGATTTCATTAATCAGAAAATGTCTAACTTTCCAACAAAAGCTAAACATCTGGATGCTGAGTGTATTGTTATCTGCACATATTCATATTTCTTATTATTTTGATTCTCTTGCATAAAATTTTCTAACGGAAGATCAAATTGTTTCTGTCATTTGTATTATTACGAAGTTGGAATATAAATCATATGCACTTATTTGTATTATCCGTGGATGGTCTCACTTGGGATACATTTTTATTTTTTATTATGAATAGTTGCAATAATTGTTATTTTTCTCAAGATTATTCGGGTACAACTGACTGAAGTTCAGAGACAGGCCGATATAAAAACCAAGGAGTACCAGACATTGAAAGAAAGCCTCAACAAAATGAAATCGCTGAAGAACGACAGCGAAGCCTTCAAATCATTGCTCGATGCCACCTCAATCAAAGCTGAAATTCAACAGCTGAAGGCTGAAAATGCCACCTACGCAGCACAACTGCAGCAGGAGCAGGCCGTAAAGGTAGGCTTTGAGAAAAAATATCAAGCAATAATGGAAGAAATCCGTTCACTAAAGGAGAAATATGAGCAAGCTGACAAGGAAAAGGTTGAAGCGAATTCGAGATTAGAAGTACTGAATAACTATTTTAAGAAGAGGGAGTCAGAGTTGCAGGAGTAGGTACAAACTGTTTTTATTTAATTCTGCTCTGACATAGATTTTTTTACAGAGAAATTATCAAGTACAAATCCATCTGGGACGCGAAGGAGGGTGAAGCCACATCCACCACCGAACGAATCAAGTACATGCAAGAGGAAATCGAAAATTACAAGTAAGGCCGTGTCACTTATATTATAAATGAAAATTATAGTGTAATTTTTCTTTTAGGGCTCATAACGAAACACTGAAACAAGAGATAGTCTCACAGGAGATAGATTTGAAGAGCCAGATCTCTATGCTGGAGAAAAAAGTCCATGAAAACTGGGTCACGGCGAGGCAAACCGAAAGGAAGTTGGAAGATGCGAGACAGGAGGCTGCCCAACTGAGGAATCGTCTGACTCTGAGGGAACGGGTTATTAACGAAGAGAGAATACAAAATAGTAAGTATTATTCTCTCAATTGCTATATAACAGGGTGTACATTAAATTTTTACCAAAAAAATAGATTTGAAAATTTTCGTGTGAAAATTTTTTGTCGATAATTATTTTTTCAATTATAATTACCGAAAAGTTTGCACTAAATTGGAATAATTTATTTTTATAATTATAAAAAAAAACAATGTTCCCTTCTAATAATTTTTGTTTGATTACCAAACAAGCACCACTTAGATATATTAGACGATTTTTGGTTTAAGAGAATATAGCGTTATTTTATTTGGTCAAAATTAAACAAAAAAACAAATTTATTGAAAAATATTTGAATTTTTTAATTCTAATGGAAATATTTTATTTTGCTTGAATTTAGTTTTCCGCATCGAAATATCACCAATATTTAGAACATTGACAATTTTTAGCACTTTTATTTTTTACATATGAGTTCCTCCCTTATTATTCAAGTTAAAATTATACAGTTCTGATAATTATAAATGGTATTAATGATTGAATGATATTCCTGTTCTTTTTTACTATTGACTTTATTTCACAAAAATATTTAAATTAGAGGGATATTCTACTTTGTCAGATCAAGAAATTGTTTCTTTTTTTTTTCATAAATAACCTCTAAAAGTCAAGTAAAGTATGTGGCAAAAAGGATTTTTTGGAATTCGATGTGTTTATAAAGTTACAGGCGTCGAACGGAGCGTTCTAGTGGCTCCCCCAGCTACCACGCTTCGTCGGTACCAATATTCTGTTATTTGGGCATCTACTTGAGCTTTCTATAACTCATGCTTGATGTAAGGTACAGCTGTCAGAAAACAGTCGGGCATTGTAGAATAATAATAATTTTTTGTTCTGAAACTGTCGAAACACATTTTACTCAAAACAGCATTTCTCAAAATGGTACCCATCATATCTAAAAAAGTTTTTAGCTGATTTTGCTGTAATTCCGCACACATCTTCTGTACACGTGTAGTTTTTGTCTGAATCAGACTGATTAAGATATCTTATATAGTTTTTTCTTACTTAGTGTCGAAAAAAAATGACGAAAAATGGACTTTATTTTCAACACTTCGGCAAAAATGCAAATTTCAATATTTTCATTGGATTCTAGTTCACATGATCTACAGATTAAAATGCCATTTCCTTTATTTCTGATGAACTGGACATACCATCATAATTTTTTACATGGATATTATCGGAGCGCTGTACAGTGGAATCTTGTCTTATTTCACCTTAAAAGAATTTTTGAACAACCTTTAAATATTGATAAATATAATATTAAAGTTCCAACATGGTGTTTTTCCAGTTCCATAAAAAAAATTCCGAAAAACATCCAAAAAAACAGCCTTCAAAGTAGAAGTTCAAGTGAAATTAGTAACATGTAGTTTTTTTAGTGTTGGTGGTCACTTACCAAAAATTAAGAAAATGACAATAAATGCCCAGTCACGTATAAAAATTACAACAAATATTTAAGATAACCAATTTTCTCTGTTATTTTAATAATTGTTTCAAAATCAATATTATCCATAATTTGCTAACATTTATTTTTCTTTCTTATAAACAAGAGCAAAGTCGATAGTTTAGTGTAAAGTTGCATTTAATAAAATGGAAGAACTGTGTAATAAAAGTACATAATGGTAAAGGTAATAAATTAATTCAAAACATAATTTTTTAAATTTAAAAATTAATCAAAAACGACTATCACATTGTCTGGGAAATTACCAATTTTTAATGATCAGTTACTTATCCATCACTAATTAAAATGAATGACATACACAAAAAAAACGCAGAAACTGTTTAGAAATGAGAAATCCGTCAAACATTGTTTGTCAAAGAAGATGGTAAGCATAATAAAATACCAATTCAATAGGAACATAATTTTTTAAATTTAGAAATGATTGGTCATTACCATTTATGTATAACATGAGCATTACAGAGAGATGACACCTTAGAAAAGAAATTCCCCAGTAGCGAATTTATTTTATAAATAAAAACCAATTGCAACTGGAATTTGAAAAAATTCCAAGAAATCTTAAATTTCCAAACCTATAAAATTCTCTAATTATTCCTGATACAAGGTGTTTTAAGTTTTTGAAAAACATCACAAATACACAAATATCTTGAATGATGTTTGATGTTGTAAAACTTGGGTTGGTTTTTTTTCTTTATCTATTCAACTTATTTTAGATTAAATAAAAATAGTAACTCGAAAAGATTAGTTTTTTTAAATAAAGTAGGAGAGATCTTTTATCCCCAAAATACAATTGTGAATCAAATGAACTTGATTGAACTTGACTTACTAAAAATTCCAAAATACTTACAATTAGTAGTGTAGAAATACTGAGCTGTTCGGTGAAGCGTCTGTGCCATATCTCTGTCACTTGTTGATATAATTGTATAAAAATTAAAAGAAAAATAGACTTACTTTTAGTCAATTTAACTTCATTAATCCAGATCAAACATTTTCGACATTTTTGTTTGTGATGTTTTTCAAAAACTTAAGGTAGTTATCAATTAAATGAACATTATTCGAGATAATTACAAACTTTCAGTATAATTAATTATACACTTGATAGATACTTTTACAAAATTCCAGCGCATTTTACCATAGAGTTTCTGAATTATGCTTAATCAAAGTTGACTATGTTTAGCATATTCTTAATGGTACTGCCTCGAAAAATGTTGTCATTACGATGAAAATGTTGCTGTAACTAAATAACCGCATTCGAGAAACTGCTCCAATTTTAGGCAAGACTAGTTTGTCTAGAAATACGTTATACATGACAATCTAGAAAGGACTGACCAGTTAGGATTGAAGATATTAATACTCAAAACTTTTAATTTTATTTGAATAATTATTCACATAAACGAAACGTGGCAACGTCGCGTGCTGACATGCAAAAAAATTTTTAACTAAAACCTTTCATTTCAGTTTCTGTTTTTCCTTTAAGGGAACTAATAAAATAAATCAAAAAATAAGGACGATTCCTGCAAAATTTTTTAAAAACTTACCAAACAATATTAATGCATCCACTTTGTTTAACACTAACCTAACCTAACCTTGTGCGCCATAAATATAAGTTTCCATCAATCTCTCACTTACACACAGCTGCACTCTGTACGACATTGTCAGTTGTCGAAACTACATGACTCAAATATGAGACTTACTCGAAAGTCTTCTAATTGACTTGAACTCCTTACTTAGGATATAATTACCTTAAACCTCACATTACTTGCTAATGAAGCAACTTCGGATTAAGGTATATTTAGTTTAATTATCATATTTTGCTATCAAGATTACAAGTAGCATATATTTAAACAATTACATTTTTATTTTAGGATTACAATCTCCGGTAGAACAGAACGGGGAGTTGCCGCTATCTCCCCACACTATAGACTCCCCTGCTTCACCGCCGCTACTCTACGGAGCAAGGGACCACATCACAAAATCTCCTCCCCTACCGGGCCTCCCGCCCTTCTTGCCACCACCTCCCGGTGCCCCCTTTATGCCTCCTCCTCTGCACGGCATGCCCCCCTTCATGCCACCACCACCTTCTATGTTCCCGGGGGACCACAGACCTCCTCCCCTAGGTCGAATGTCCTCGCCACCTTTGAATTCGAGATATTCACCCGATACCTCGGCTTTCTCGCCATACGATAGGCACAGCCCGTCGCCTCCTTACGATTCGGAATATGGAGCCTCGCCGCCTCCCATGAGGGGCTACAATCCTTATAACAATAGGGACGATAGGAGAGACTATAAAAGACCACCACATGGTAGGAGTAACGGTAGGAATGGGAAAGGTAAGTGTGAGAGTGATTTGGCGATAAGTACTGCTTGATTGGTTTTTCTTTTTTTTTTTGGGTATTTTGCCACACTCTTAAAAATTTTTTTTTAATAGTAAATAAACCCCTAAACAAACTTATTTTTGCCTAATTTGGAATCTTACAATGAGCAGTAGATACCACAGTCTATCAGAAAAATAACGGAGTTGCGTACCATTTCTGACGTTATTTGTTGTTTTGTTTGAAATAGACGATTCTGTAGTGTGTCTATAATGTACGTCAAAATATGATTTTTATGCACGATGGTGTAGGTGTCCATTTTGCATTAATTGTACGTGATTACCTAAGTAATACTTTCCCCGGACGTTGGCTTGGCAGAGACGGTCCATTTGCTTGGCTGCTTCATTCTCCAGACCTAACGCCATGTGATTTTTTCTTTGGGGCTTCCTAAAAACGTTGGTGTATAGAACACCAGTGGCAAATGAATTGCAGAACCGCCTATTTCAATCAAGACAGCAAATAACATCAGAGATAATACGCAACTCCATTCGAGCAGTAGCACAACGTGCTGAAGCATGTTTAACAGCAGACGGTGAAAATTTTGAACAAATGTTTGATACTGCTATATCTCAAAAAATACTGGTCTAATTGAAAAATCATAAAGACACTTTTTTATCACCTTATCTAGGTTAATATGATCCCACAGTCCTTGTCCGCAAATTTCGTTACACCCTGTATAATCTGAAAGCTGTATATCTCGTCTACAAAATGAGACCGCTATCATTAGACGTTATAGCGCTTAAAGTAACGGCACCTTTGTCACCTCGTCACAAAAACACCATGGAGCAGAGCTAATATTAAATTTTGTTTCAAGCTCAGTAAAACTTTTACAAAAACATTTGAATTGATGAAAAAAGTTTATGGGTGGTGTTCGAGTGGTATAAACGATTCCAGGGCGATCGTGATGCTTTGGAAGATGACCCAAAGCCAGACCGAACAAAAAACAAAAATTGCGATCAGTTGGTTGAAAAAGTGAAATCATCGCCTACGATGCGAATTCAATTGTGAAATGGATAGTGGAGGAATTATATACGACCAAAGACATGATTCACGAAATTTTGACAAAGGATTTAAACAAACGGAAAATCTGTGCTCGATTTGTTTCTCACGCCTTAAATGAGGATTAAGAAATTGCTCGCATTGAGTATTGCAAGAATCTTATTAAAACAACCAGACGGAACTGCACATTCCTGGAATCGATTGCAACTGATTATAAGACTTGGTACTGCAGTCACGATCCTCAAACAAAATGCTAGTGTTACTTGGTTCTCCGAAATCGAAAGAATTGCCTTTCCAAAAGTCGCAAGAGAAGACAATGTTGATTTATTTTTACGAAAGATATTATACTTCGGGAATTCGTTGCACAGGGTTACATTGTCACTGGTGAATATTATCTGGGTGTTATGGAGCCTTTGTGAAAGAGAATCGTTCAAGTGAGGCTCGAATATGAAGCGCTGGGAAGTTAGTTTTTGTTGCAGTGTCTCACAGGATCGTTGCTTTTCGTGAATTTTTAATAAAAAAAAAAGTGTGTACTTCAACATCCTCCATATTCGCCTGATTTATCCCCGTGTGACTATTTCCTGTTTTCCAAAACTCAAACTAGCAATGAAAAGAATGTTTTATGACAATGTTACACAAGTCTAAGAAGCTGTGACGAGGGTCATTGAAGCCATTCCGAAAAACAACTTAAAAATATCTATGATAGCATTGGTTGAACGTGCCCGGCGGTGTATTGATGCGCAATGTATTTTGAAAATTGGCAGAGTAACTAATTTATTGTTCTTTTTTTAATTTAAAAAATTATTTTTTCGACATACTGTGTATATCATTAAAAATACTTTTTGTAATATATGTTAATGCTTTGAAAGGTTTTCTGCTGTTGTTCTGAAAACAATATACGGGGTGTTCGGGAAGTGGTGAACAATCTCTTGTATTTGGGTAGTTCTTGTAAAAATGAATGTAACAAGCTTTTCCTTTGGGCTCACCCCATAATGATATTAAATGCTATTTGACATGACGCACAGTGGGAAATATTGGAAAAAATTCGAGCCAAGCGTCAAGACTAATCAAATAGTACTGATTTTTTTTTATTCTTTCCGAAATTACCTGTACTATAAAGTTCCAGTGAGGTAATTGGAATATATCCCTAGAATTTTTTTAAAATAGCCTCAAACTTGATCATACGAAGTTTGACATATTCGGTATCTAAAAATGAAAAAAAAAAAAAGGAAAATTATGTACTAAAGGCTGCCAAACAAAAAAAAATCACAAACGTGAAACATTCCTAAATCATGAATCTAGATCCAAAACATAACCTCAAATTTATAAATCTTAACCTAAAACGAACATACTCAATTTTTTCTAAACCTGTGAGTATAAACCCATAAAAATTGACATCTTTAACTTCAAAAGGTATGAAAATCTTAAGACCAATGATAAAAATTTAAAAAGTAGATCTATAAATTTTTTTGGGCAACTGTTGAGGACCTCTAAAGTAGCTTTCGTTAAATCAAACACATTGATAGAAATAACTTCAATTAACATAGTTTTTACTCAGAAAGTTGATTATTTGGGTAAATAATAAATAAATAATAACATAAATTAGGCTTTTTCTATGATTAAATATTATCTATTTGGCAGATGAAGTAGCTGAATAGGAAAAAAGAATAAAAATATACAGTGTTTTGTTTAAAATTTTATAACTTATTAATATGTGTAATTGTTTTAATGTCCACCTCTACTTTACGTAGTGGTCACAGTATAATTTAGCTAAAATAGGGCAATGTCAGAGATCATTGTAACAATTGTTTTCAAAAAATTTAAATGATTTTAAAAAATACTTAATACAATCAAATTAGTACCTAAGTATTTTTTTATCATAAATTAGTTTTATACAATTAGTAACATATCTACCAATATTAGTTAATCATATTATCATAAATTATGTAAAACAATTAAATTTTTTAAAACAATAGAATGTTTTTTTAATGCTTGGCGGTTCATCCACATTGACGTTAAACCAATAGGGTGACTTTAAAATAATACGTCGCCAATTTATACAAAAGCAATGTGTTGTTATAGTCTTTACGAAGTCAGTTGAACATGTAAAAAAACGCCTGGCAATAAAATTTTATGAGTTTCATAGACGTCCTAAGAATTTTTTTGATAAAGGTAAAAATTTATAATAATTTGTATATATGTAATGTGCAGAAAATTTCTATTATATGTTTATTTGGCCAACAACATATTTTAATTATTGTTTATGTCCTCAAATAATTTTAGTATATTGATGGTAAATTTTTGTTCCATTTCAAAAGGTCTCCAAAATGCCATATAATAATAATAATATTAGTAAACAAAATATCCCTCTTATTTCTCCCTTTCGCAATTGTAATATGAATGATTGATAGAAGGTGCCTATAATAAATTAAAATTACCTGAATCTCACCAAATTCTGCATTGCTGCACTGCACTGCTATGCAATTTGTCAGCCACGTGTCAACAGCTGAGATTTATTGTCCAGTCGCCCAGTTCGGTTGTCTGTGTACGCCAAATATGGGAACGAGTTTTTCAAATATTTCAATGCCGAGTTGCTGCATCAGTGACCGAACCTGGTACATACTGTCACCCTCTTGGTTCTTCAATTGATATTGGAAAGGCTACATTAAATTATTTCCCAGCTTAGCTTGACTTTCTAACAGTTGATTTAAAAAGGTATCAACTGGCAATGCAGTTTAAAAAACAAATTAGCACTCAAATATGTATGAAAAAGGAAGAATTTCATATTAGTATTCTAGGAAACACTACTTCTCATTGTGAAATTTCGAAGAAGGCAAATATAAATTTGATAGAGGGAACCTCTGGCTGTTCGTTGTGGCTTTATTATTTAATTTAATGTGATAAAATACTCGAAATTAAAAACAAATCCAGCAATTACAAAAAAAAATAGTGTTACACAATAATACTTATTGATGTTTTTTTATAGGTTCTGTGATGAGTTCGGGTTCAGACCACTCAAACGACTCGTTAGATAAAATAAATCGGAAGCAGTCGAAAATGGTTTAGCATTTTAGTTGTTGTTTCTATTAATTGTTCTCTGTTTGTCTGCGTTTATTTCTACTAATTATTTTAAGCCAAAGGTTGATTTTTACGCATTTCAGATATATGTATACAATTAACAACTTTGTCTTCTTCATTTGAGACGGACAGAATCTGAATTTAGACAGGTCGATAATTTTGATAATTTAGTGGTATTCTTTGGTAATTTCTTTTTAAATAAAATGTATAATTATGTAAAAATGTATAAAGCGCTGTTTAAATAAAATTATGTATATTATGGTGCGTGCACGTTATTTCCCTAACATTTTCTCGTACTTCACAGGTAGCTTTTTTTTAATTTGTAAAATGTAAGAATAAATCAACGATGAATGTAAGTGAAAATTAAAACCATCATAATAGTACCACTGTAAAATTCTAAAATAAAACATTTTTGCGATTTTTGTTTTTAATGGAAGGAAATGTTCAAAATAATATATTTATTTATAAATAATACAAAATGGCGACCCTGGAGCCATTCTTGTGAGACATATTAAATTTGAGGCATTTTGCGGCACACAAATTTGAATATGGAAAAAAAACAAAAAAAAATTCTTAATATACATCAGCGTGGTTAGAGGGGTATTTTGAAAATATTAATTTTTGTGTGATTGGTGAGCATATAAAGTGAAAAGTTCAATTTTTGACAAAAAAAGGACAATAACTGATGTTAAAATCAACTTATCGAAAATCCCGTACGTACTTTTCTTTGGAATGTTATTTTAAATATATCAAAATTTGGAGTAAATAAAATTAAAATTGTTGGAATTATCCTGCATACCGTTTAAAAAAATTGTGTTTAGAAAAAAACGCCTTTTAAGTTTTGAGATTTATGCTGTACCAACCTATTTTTGTTTGAAAATGTTTCTAATTGAACACACACTCCTTCTAATGACTTCTGTTAGCAGTATCGGAGAAGTTAGAAATCAAAAGGTAAGTCATTAGGCCGTACCCTTCTAACAGGTATCCATGTGCTGCAGTATCTTTTAAATCGATAAAAAGTATATATTTCTGAAAATTATACAGTGGTCTTACCCCTTAAAGTATAATGGTTTTTCCGATTGTTATGCCGCCGTGGCCTATGTACTTAGTGGCCACTACTTACGGACTTAATAGCACTTCAATATTTTTAACTAGGAATCTTTGACCTACCCTTGTTGTTCTCGGACTAGGCTTCGTCTGGGCAGAGTAGCTATCAAGACACATGAGTCGTGATAAAATCTTTGCAGAGTTGCCACTGAAAATGCTGACAGTGAAGAACAGCAAAACGTCTGAAAGCAAGTTGCTACCAGTTACAGACGCTACTGCGGAACTTCTGAGTTGATCATTGTCTGAGGACAGCCATAAACCAACAAGAACCAATATCGACATCAGGGGAAGCCTAACCAAATAGCACAAACTTGTCCAAGAGCTCGGATCCAAAAAATAAGTCTAAATGACAAAAGCTAGTTTTTTGATATTTCGTTACTATCAATATGCTCTGGTCAGACAAGTCTTTTGTTAGAACAGGTAGCACAGGTACACTGTCAAACGTATTGTGAATAGTAAGGTAGTAAAATGAGTTTTGTTATTCTAAGTACCTGTAAGAATATTTACATATTTTATAAACGAGTTTCATATATTTATGTTTTTATACAGTTGGAGGTTGACCGACTACCCTTGTCCTCACGACCTTATGTACCTGACCGACTGCTATACATGTTCATGTGTAATATACAGGGTGTTCTCAAAGTTGAGTCATTTATTTAAACAGCTGGTAGAACTCATAAAAGAAGTCAATTTACCAAAAATCGTTTATGTAAATGTTGTCAAATAAAGCAATAATTATTAACAATTATTTTAAAAAATTGAAATTTAAAAACTTTATAATACAAACCTGATTTATTATCATTTTCGACCACACCGCTGGAAGATAAATTGTTTGTTTAGTAACATGGACCTAGTTCTTGTTGTGGGGTCGTTTTCGACAATTTCTAAAATTTCTTTCTCAATCACCACCATTTCACGTGGAGGTCTTTCAGCGTGACCTCTGTTGTTTCTTTAAATACCCTGTGTCTCGGAGTCTTATAACTAAATTTACAAACCTTTCCGCGTACAAGCGACATGCTGTGGCTGCATTTTGTTGACACTTTCCGTAAGTTAATATTATGTCCAGTAGTTTGTTGTTTTCATAAACGTGCCATTTTTATTGCACAAAACATCCACAAACCAAAAATAATATCAGGCACTACTGTACGAATTATTTAGCACTATCAAATCGTAAAGCATACTCAAAACCGTGCAACTACAAAAAAACATACCCAATATTAGCAGTAAACAAAAAATTTATATTTTTACAACAGAGTGGTCGAAAATGATAATAAATTGGGCTTGTATTATAATGTTTTTAAATTTCAGTTTTTTTAAATTGTTAATAATTGCTTTATTTGACAGCTTTTACATAAACAATTTTTGGTAAATCGACTTATTTTATGAGTTCTACCAGCTGTTAAAATAAATGACTCAACTTTGAGAACATCCTGTATACCCTACATCCTCTATATACAGTTTCAGCCTTTGTAACTCATTTCGTCATGAAGTTTGAAAATTGATTCACGAATCATGCTTTATTATCAAAATATGACCGCTGTAAATTTCATCAGTTGCTACTCTGGATTACATTGTACAGCTGTTTCACATGAAGGGTACGGTAAAGGCGGACCATCAAAACAGATAATCAAGTACCAATTGTTTATATGAACATTTCCATCTGAGCTCCATGTGAATGTGCATGAGCTGTTCATATAAACAAATGGTATGTACATAATACTTGGTTGTCAGTATTGCTTGATGATTCGCTGTGACCCATAGCCCATAGGGCCCTAACCCTATGCCCACGAGCACCATGGCGCCCATAGACCGTTTTACAATGTACCCGCCGCTGTGCGATCCCTTTAAAAAATATTTAAGTTTTCAATAAACCGTCGCAGTGTACAGCCAAAAAAAATTGTATGACAGTTAGTGGTGATGTTGGTTAATGCAATATTTTTGAACTGAAATAGTTAGTGAATGAGTTCCACTTCTATTTCTTTGTTATATACCATGTGCTTTTTGACGTTTGTGTTTTGAAATCCTTATTAAGTACTGCTTATTTTTTATTTTTGATATATTTTTACAGTTTACCTTTCTATATACGATTTTGATTTTTGGTTGGCCCACCCTAGAAAGTCCGGTGCTCACCCCAGAAAAAAATAACTAATTATCAACTTTGTCATATCGGTAAGTCGATGACTGCGTGGACCGGTTAAACGTGTATTTTTTTTATTAGAGGCCCTCATAGATCTTACAACCCTGCGCCCACCCCAAGCAAAAGTTGTAGCTACGCCCATGTTAACAATATCCAACTACAAATTTACATTGAAAAAATAAAAGGTACACGATCCGGCATCCTAAATTTTGTGCTCTTAGGCGCAAAAACAAAAAGTTTGGCGACCCCTGGCAAAGACTATTGCACATCTATCAATATGTGGTCTCTCAAAACAGAAAAAAGATGTGGACCATTGGTCTATAACTGACAAATGTAATAATGACCATTAACCATCGCATTTCTTTAAGTATGCAGTATGCACATACGCTTCACACTTCATGTGAAACATACGTTAGATTGCCATTTCAACATCTTATTGTATTATGTGTTGCATATATCTGGAAATATTATTTATAACAAATTTTAAAGAAATTCTAGTTTATTTAAGACAAAAAAATCTGTAAGAAAAATTTAAACTAAATATTTAATTATTAATAATAAGAATCATTTTTATTAATACACTTCACACCTCATTTTTAGGTCAAGTGTAAGAAGGCAACTTCGAATAGAAGCTTCTCTTTCGACTGGGAGCGTGGCGTCTCCTGTAATCCAGCTACTTGGAGGTCGGGTTCAGCGGATGGTTTGAGATCAGGAGCACTGTTGCTAAGCGTCCTACGTAGACCGGGCGTCCGCACTAAGCTCGGCGTCAATATGGGCACCCCGGAGGAGTCTGGGGTATCCAGGTTGAACAATGAGTGGCGAACCGGGCCAGGGGGGAAACCCAGCAGCCAAAAGTCACCGCGTCGTGCAGTAGTGGGATCGCGCCTGGGAGTGGGAACTTTGTGACAGCCTGATCAATACAGCTAGACCTGGATCTTTTTGATACTTTTTTCTATTTTATCCCGAATTTTGAATGATATTCAAGTTAGTTTTGTAAAACAATATACACAACGAAAGAATAACTACTGTTTTATAATAAATTTATTTAATATACAATTGACATCATAGATGTCAGTGCAGTCATCTCATTTGACCACTAACTAAATAAAGTTCCTAGATAGATAAAGTTGTATTATATGTTCTGTGGATAAAGTCATATGAGTAACTAAATCTGGATAAAGTTTAGTGACTCAGAGCCACTGTAGACACGGATTTCTTAAATTAAACTTTAAGAAATCCGTGACTGTAGATAAAGTTATGACATGACAGATCTCTGCATGACAGTCACCCATAGATTACAGTGCAGTCACCTATGTCATCCGCCATTTTCGGGCAATTCTCTGTTGCCAACTTTGTAATATTTAATATATTTTACCTCCTTAAATATTATTCTAACAGTTAAACGCATGCGTACCTATTCCTATACTTCCTAAAATTTCATTGATTGGAATTAAAAGCGATTGCGTTTGACCGTTGGAAATTGATTCTAACGCACTAGGAACAAAGCTATCTAAGTAATGTCAATTATTATAATGATTGATTGGTTATACATGGTGTTTGTAAATAAGTGCGAAATAATTTAGGGGGTGGTTGCCAGTTATTTTGTGAAAAAAAGTTCATATAAACGTAGGTCGAAATATGCTTCATTTCCGAGATACAGTGTTTAAATTTTAATTTTTTACTAATTTTTATTAATTATTTCTAAGAGTTTTAAAGATATTGACTCGTAATTTGAAAAACGCTTTGGGGGGACAAATGTGCATTTTTTGGGGTGATCGGAATATTTCTACTTGCACCAGGGGCGTTCGTATGAGAATACCATAAACTTTTTCAACAAAAAAATTTGTACGCCACTGACTTTTTTTTTCCCGTTTTGGTATTTTTTTAGAAAACCGCTTTCAATTCAGAATGAAATTGGTCTCTTCAATTTTTTTCGTATTATGCGCCGTTTTTGAGAGAAAAATAAAATCTATTTTATTGTAGGTTTTGTTAATCTTTTATTTAAATATCTCTTTTAATAAACTATATGGTCAAAGTAAAAATGCAATTCAATATTGAAAATAAAAAGTTGATATGAATGTGGATAAAAAATTCTTCGATTTCGAGATACAGGATGTTCAAAACTGAAATAATTAATAAAAATAAATAAAAAATTAAAATTTAAACACTATCTCGGAAATGAAGCATATTTTGACCTCAGAGTAATAAATAAAGGGGAGGCCGCATTCCCTATTTCAGTACACAATGTAAACATGTAACCTCAACCTATTGTATGTTGATAAACAAATGATACATTAAGTAAACACAATGGTCCCTGGTACAGTGGCGTACCGAGTTTAGGTTTAAAATCTATCATAATATAAGGAAACCATAAAAATTATACTTTTTAATAGAATAAAATCAGAAATGCTCGATTATTTAAGCTTTCATGTGTAATAAATAGACAATAAATAGGAAAAAGTTAATGGTTTCTTCAAAATCTATAATTAATATTTTAAAAACATTTCCAGAACAAAAGAGTGACTAAAGAAAACTTCTCGATTGAAACTATCATTATACTATAGCTATAGCAATGTCATTGCCTGCTATTAGTTCTATTATTTCATAGTAGTTCTCGATTACTGGAAGAACTACATTTATTAAAATAAATAATTTAAATAAAACTACAAGAAAAGGAGCAAAAATATATTTCATTAAAATTTGCTGGAATATAAACAATGCAAAGAAAACAAAACATATTTGTACTAAAAGTAACGGAAAAATGTACGCAACAAAAATAAACTGAATTTTGAGCTCATAGCATTGACAGCTCGTCTCTTATGGAACAGGGACAACATGAGATTGAAGATGTTTTATAGCAGCATCTATAAAATTTCGTTCACTGGCAATTTCTCGAAGGGGGAACCTTTGAGACGGCATAACCATTTCATCAACACTGTGCTAAAACGTATTACCTTCCAAATGTTGTATTAATAGGGACAGCTCCATGTGTGAGACATCATTTTCCAGTTACTGTTACCTTAATATCTGTAGCACGGAAATGCTTCGACAGACATAATTATCCTTTGAAAAAATCATATTCAGATATGGCAAAATTTTCTAGCCACACTGCTCGTATCGCAGGATCTTATGGTATTCTACAAATAAACACAGAGCTAGTGTCAGTATCAAAATATAAACATAATAAATTAACAAATAAAATACTTAGGACACCTTACACCCTTGTAAGAACGCCCATGGAAACAATGTCAAACTTACTTGTGAAAAGAAGTAGCACATATTTGGCTCTTTTCCTGTAATTGTCGGCATATTATACACCGCTGTGACATTTTTATTGAAATTAAATAGAAAAACAAAGTTTAAAAAAACACAAAACAGTGAACTCGGCTAATATCTATTTCACAACAATAGACTATAATAATGGCGTCCCCTTTAGAACCGTTTAATACCAGGCAATGATGCCACTTACGGCGTTTGTATAGCTAGGAATTTCAATAATGTATTTTTTTCAGATATTCAAAATCTATAATTATAAAACAAGTTGCAAGAAAATAGTGTCTTATGCATATTACAATGTAACTAATTTGTAAGTCGAGGTCAAGAATGAGGTAGATCCTTGTACGATAATCAATTAAAATGACAGCTGTACCTAACTATAAATATAAAAATGTAACATTGGCATCAACGTCAAGGACGTCACAAGTACCAATGTTTGTAAATACACATATTATGTCAACACTTCACTATCGAATGTAAATAAAGGCGTCCCCATTATTTATTAGTCTGAGATTTTGACCTACATTTATATGAACTTTTTGTCACAAAATAACTTCGGCAACCACCCCCTAAAATATTTCGCACTTATTTACAAACACCCTGTATAAGCAAACCAAGCAACGCTATAAAAGTGTCTGAGAGCAGTGGCGAAACTATCGTACAGCAAGAGGGAGTTGTGCGACGGATGCCTAGCCACTAGGAGTTCTGGAACCTCCTGCTAACTTCACTCCACGCTACTAATTTAATACTTATGGGTATACTATAAAAAAACAAACTAAAAACTCTTTAGAGTCAAGGGGTGTGGAGTGATCGAAGTCGTAAATTTGAACATAAAAAATCCGACGTGTTTGTGTAATTTTAGAAAATGTAATGTTTAAACCGGATCTGCAAATACTAGAGACTAAAATTTGACGATTAGGTCAACATGCCTTAAAAAATATGACGGTTTAAAAGATACAGGGTGTACAAAGTTAAATTATTAGGAAATTTTCAATAATTTTGAAAGTTTCTGCAATATCAATTTAAAAATTGTAAAAATTTTTGGCGTAACTCATAGGGGGCGCCCGGATTTTTTTCCTTTGTAATTGTTGTAAAAACGAATGGCAATTCAGAAATTCTATATAAAGTAAATACTACTCTACTATTTTCTATTGTAAAGGCCAGTTTTTCTGACCGACAATTAAATTTATTTGTCAATTAAATCTATGTATCACTTACTTATGTAGGCAGACATATACAGTAAGTAAAATAAGTACTATAAAAGTAAAAAGTAAGTACAGTAAGTACCTATATATAGTAGGTATAAAAGTAAGTACCTAGTATAAAAGTAAAGTAAGTAAAATAAATGCATCGGTAATTCCACGTCAGGGTAAAAATTCAGAAAGCCGGTTTTTTATATTTTAATTTACTTTTGAAAAATTCAAAGGTCATACATAGTATAATTTAACCAAATTTAGCACAATTAAGGGAAAAAATGTGTACATTATTTTTTCGTTCAGGAACAGACCTGGGTGGAGATAATACCCTTGTCTGTTAAATCGTAGTCCATAATAATCAACAAATCAGAGATCTACTGTTGCCACCCAACATTTTCGCTTGAAACCCAATTATTATTTTCAGTTGACTCAAACATTTTCATGTGATGATAGGTATGTTAAAGATTTTTTTTTTTAATAAAGGAAATATCTACATTATGAAAAAAGGTTATTTATTTTCTATAATATAAAATCATAAATTTCAAACTATACCCGATTTATCTTATATTGTATTTAAATAATACATTTCAGATTGAAAATATATAAAATATTTTTTATATTTTTAACGTAAAATATTAAAAATAACAACAATAACATAAAATAATATTTAAAATATTTACAATGTCCTTGATGATTACGTACTGTAGTAACTGTTCTTTAATTGTCGAGCCAAATAGAAAGACAGGAAAATCCCAAAAAGCTAAAAAATATATGAAAATATTGACAAAGAAAGAAGCAAAAACATTATCAGTAAATGTACATGTAGTCACTACATAATTCAGTAATTGTCCCTTGGAATGCTTGACAATTTAGATAAGTGAATGATGCACACAACACCCAATTATTTAAATTGACATAAGTTATCCGACTTCTTTCGGGGCAGGTACTTTACTTACCTGTATAACAGCTAATGAAATACCTACAGCACCAATGGTAGCGGCGTGACTTTTTATAAAATCCGAAAATAATGAATGACATCCAGAAGAATATGGTGGAGACGTGGACGCAGGATATGTTGTATTATTATCATTATTATTCTCTAATTTTGCAGGATTTGAATCGGGTTTTGATTCAATTGTTGTAGATGCTTCAGTTGTGTCGTTTGGAGTAGGTGATGTTGTTGCTGGTTCTGGTGTCGTTGTGACGTTTTGTACGACTGAATTGCAATAAAATGCTCCCACAACACCGTTAAGTGGACTACAGCATGATATAGGCAGTGAATTATTCTCAAAAGCATTATTCCAATCAGTATAATTCTGAACTCCACAACATTGGAACTGGAAAATATAAAATTGAGATATTTAATTACAAAGAACTAGTCACTGCTGTTTACCTCTTCCTGAATTATATCCCACATATTGCTAATCTCATTTGATTTGCCATACTGGTTCATATTCGTAAGTAATGTAGCCTCTATGTAAGTTGAAGTTTTATCATTTAGTACATACCCAGCTATACTCACCGATAATTCAAATATAAATATTATTATTAGCAAAATTGAAAACTACAAAGAAAAAAATATTAAAATCTCTGACACATGGTTAGTTTTCTAATTAGTATGTCCACGATCAATAACAATTTTTTATTAATTTTTTAACAATAATCATTGCCTGCTACAAATTCTGTATCAGCGTAATATTCTAATCTGTGGTATCAGTCGATCTGTCATTGGATTTATAAGCTACGCTATGATCCGTGTGTGGACCTGCACATTTCAAATCAAAATATTATTAATTATAAATTATTCCAGTTCATTAATGTTCATGTTGATCCTCTTGGAAAATATTATAATGAACACTAAATACTACAGATTAAGCGGAATAATTGCATCGCTTCCGAAATCAGTTATTATGACATTTTATTTTGAATTCAAAAGGCGTTGAAAACTGAATGAATTCTCTTAAAAATTGTTAATGCAACAGATTGTAAGTGCACTCGCTACAATAACATAAAAGATGCGATACTTACTGCCGTTAACGTAATCCAACTCTCCCTCATTGCCCCATAGCATCCTAGTATCGAAATAAAAAAAATCAATGAACCTGTCGCAATCAGCATGTTCGGTAGTGAGAAATATCTGTCATCTAGAAACGTATAATAAGGGTAGTAATGTGATTTTACGGATGCCCCCACAGCCACCATAATAATTCCTGTGATCTGAAACAGTATATAGATGTCTATCAATTTGCTGAAATAACGGCTTTGTTCTTAGAGCAATCCAAAACAGTTTCCAACAGTCAGACGCATGGGCATTCCGATATAACGCTTACATAAGGTTCAAAATTCATTGTTGGAAACTCTAATGCAATGGGAACAAAGCTGGAATTCTGGAATGAATTAATTTACTGTACTGGAATATCATTTCTGTACTTATTTTTGAAAACTTGTGTTGTTACGTGTATATGTACAGGGTGATTCACTATATTTTGACCCCCCTTTAACTTTTTTGTTTCAAGAGTTATAAAAAAATGTGAAATATAAAAGTTGTACAAGTTTTTATGAATTTTTCGAAAATGATAGTAGAAAAACAAATGAAGTCCAAGCAAAATGGCCGCGGATGTTAACTTTGTTAAGTTAAACGGAACACCCAGTATATTTTTACATATTTGGATAGAACGTCCCCTGTCGAACATAGTCATGTAGGGTTTGTTGGGTCCATCGCTAATAATAAGCGAGATACTATTAAAAAAACAAAAAGAATATTTTTTATTAAGAAAATAAGACATCTTGTAATTGTTAAACCTTTTTCAGGCGTTTCTGTCTTTCAAAATGCTGTAGGTATTGTAACTAAATCTCACTAATTAGGCCGTGAAAGGCCTAATTACTCACGGACAATGTTATATGGTAAGCCGTGACAGTGACAGGTAATGTCATGACAACATTGTTATTGTTTGACAGTTTGTATTATTATTTAATTAAAATGGGTTACACAGAAGTAGAAAATTGAAATTTTATAGGAATTAAAATAGAGCAGTCCTTCTCCATACTCTATTTTAATTCTAAATAATTTTCTACTTCTATGTAACCTATTTTAATTAAATAATAATACATACTGTCAATCAATAACAATGTTGTCAAGACATTACTACCTGTCACTATAACGACCTACCATATAATGTCCATGAGTAATTAGACCTCTCACGGCCTAATTATTGAGATTTCGTTACATTACCTATACGCATTTTGGACCGTATCAATGTCCGATCTAACAAAATATATTATAACTAAAGGAATCTGTAAATCCTTACTCAATTGGAAAAAAGGCAGAAATGTCTGAAAAAGGTCTAACAGTTACAAGATATATCATTTTCTTAATAAAAAATCTTTTTGTTTTTTAATAGTATCTCGACAGGGAACGTTCTATCCAAATATGTAAAAATATACAGGGTGTTCCATTTAACTTAACAAAGTTAACATCCGCGGCCATTTTGTTTGGACTGCATTTGTTTTTCTACTATCATTTTCGAAATATTTACAAAAAATTGTGCAACTTTTATAATTAATATTTTTTTATAACTCTTAAAACGAAAAAGTTAAAGGGGGGTCAAAATATAGTAAATCACCCTGTACATTTTTAAATTTAAGTAGATAGTAGATATTTAGTAGTGACAATATTAGTAGTAGTTTTAAAAATATGGTATTTTTAGAAATTAGTCATCGCGATTTACTTCTATAACAAAATTTAGTTTAATAGCGTACATTATCTGTAAAAAAATAAAATACAAAATATATTTTTTTAATGCGAAAAAAAAAGAATAAAAAAATGCATATTGAAAAACGATTTTTTTAGAAGTTTTCGGAGATAAAAGCACGTCACTCTTTTTCTTCAAAAAGCACTTTTTTTGTTTAAAAATAAAAAATATCCAAAAAACTAAATATATATTATTTTTGTATAAAACCATATCTCAAAACTAACAAAATGAAAAAAAAGTTTATGATATTTTTAGTTTTTGTCAAGTTACAGGTAGGTATTTCAAAATTTGTTACCCAAAACACATATCTAATGTGCCCAAAATTTTCAAATGCTCATAACTTCTTGAGGGGTTGACATACAAATTTGAAAGAATTCGTGAAAGCTATACTCTCAATGGTTACTAAATAATACCAAAAAAAATATTTAAAATAAAAATGGTGGGGTCAAGACCCCATCAGTGATTTGGCATGGAATGAATACTCCATATGTTTTACAAACATTGTGGAATGGCGAGAAGTCTAAAAAGGTCGAGACTTCTCAGTTCTATTAGAAAAGCTTTCACAGATGTAGCTTACTGTTGATTATTGAGATATTTTGTGACATTTATAGAATATACATTAATAATAAGTTATTGTTATTAGTAAATGGTGCACTTACAATTGTGAATTAGGATCATAAAAACATGGAGTATTAAATATATCCATGTCCCTGTATTATCTATTATCTATATTTTCATTGGTTTTAAATCAAAGGACAAGAACACGTAAAAGTAAAAGATATTTCCATATATGTATTATTTGATAAAAGGCTTATGTTTTATTTCAGTACTATTAATCAATCACGATCCTTATAAAGATACGGTATTTATCTAGGCAGACGACTTATATAAATCATGAAACCACCACGTAGCCCAAACTATTTTTGTTGCTGTTTAGGGATTTATCTGCCCTACATCATACATGACATAAGAAAAGCCTTGTTTCTTGTTTATTTAACATATTGTAGTGTTCTAGTACTTGAGGTTCGTAGGTGTGAATAAAAGTACTCAGTATCTCAGTTATTTATTTCTAGATCCCCGAACAGTTCTTATTTATTTAACTAGGTAATATACACGAACTACATAAAAATCATAAATCAGACTAAAAACAACTCTACTGTCTGTATATTTTCCAATGCTAACTACCCTAATTTATATTAATTGTTCCGTTGTGAGTCAGCGGACGACATTTCGTCACGATATGTATATTGCTATTTAGCGACGCCCAGAGACAAGCGACGCCTATGATGAGGAGGTGAAGCGGAAGCCTCGTCACGGCTGTAGCACAGCTTATACAGCTCCCCAACTGTCTTGGCGGGAACGGTTAGCGTCGATTCCGCCGCGCAGCGTTTATGCCCCGCCTTCCAGCGGAAAAAACGGCTTTGGCGTTCGTTCAGGCGAGTAACGACAACGGGTAGTAAGAATTGCAATCATAGACGTGGGTATAATTTCGTTGATTTATTTTTATTTTATATAATAATGAAAATGAAGATACCTTATTTGGACAATTGTAAATGCCAAACGATAACTTTGTTGAGCTCATTTGTAACACTGAAAATATATTTCAAGATAATTTTGAACAATTATCCACAAAAAATAACATTTGTAGCACATTTCTTGAATTAATTAAAAGACTACCTTTTAGTCATACGTGTCATTCTTTTCCGAAAGAATTTGTACTTAGGCTATATTTAAGGGTTAGAATTTATTATACGTTATAAACTATAAACCAAAATTTTAGGAATATTCAAAAAATAAACATAATAATGGCGAGAAATCTGTAATGATTATATTTTTAATACTATATATTATGTTATTATATTTTTTTGTATATTATATTGTAGGTATGTTTTATAATATGTATAAGTATTAGTCCAGGCTGTATCGTTGCTCCCGCTAGGAACATGATTCTCATTCGAATTTTTTTTCATAATCTTACTAAAAAATGACCCTTGAATCATATCCGCATGTTGCCAGACGTTACTAATGGTCAAAAATTGTTTAAACAATTTTTTTTAAACAAATTCGTAATTTTCGATTTTTTCGCTCGAAATACATTTTTATAGGCTTTTTGGGGTATCCTGAACAAAAATGTTCATATGCAACTTTTCTCTAAAATCTACCGTTTTCGAGATATTAACGATTTTTTGTTCGAAAAAAACGCGATTTTAACCATTTTCTTCTCTAAGGATTACGTCAGTAAACAGGAGCTTACAACAAGGAATTTTAATTACTCTTCAAGTTTTCTTTTAATAATCCGTATTAACTCCAAGTACAAAACCTATTACCTATCTAAAATACCCATTTTCTACTTTTAATGTCATACCACGTAATATTCTAATTCAAATTTCATATTATTAAAATTACCTACTACGGTACTGTCAGGTAGAAACTAAATATTTTATTTCAATAATAAAAATTCTTTTAATCCAGCCCCGACAATTCCGCTTAATCTGAGAGAGTTAACACGATATTCCGTCAGGCACGATCTGTTCTGTAAAAATGTGCAATTATATTATTACATAGGTAATTGCCTATTTTAAATTTTCATTGTTATTAGAAAACGAAAAAATCACTATATCGACCAAAGAAATGATTAGGAATTTACGTCGAGAAAAAAAGATTATTAACCTATTTTTTATTGAAAGAATTCATTGTTTGAAAAATGGAGCATATATTATTTTTGCATATTTTTATCCTTTGCACAAGGAAAAAATTTAATTTTTTTGTCGCACAAGAATTATTTGTTAGTAGGTGTACGTACCCACGGAGAATATAATTAAAATATATTTACTTTATTAACACCAGTATTTTATTTCGTTTTGTGTTTGGTTTCATCAAATTACAACATAGTTGAGAGATGAGATATAGCATAGCAGCTGTCTCTCTTTTCGTCTTGTAACGCGGCCAGCCATTGGGAGGCCATCTCCAGTAGTATATACTCGAAACATTCGTCTATCAACTCCGCGAATTTTTGTCCATATTTGTTCAATCTGTACCCAAAGTTTTATCAAATTTCTTTAATTTTGATTTTTGTTTCTTATCTCGAAGTTTTCTACCACCAAATAATGCTTGGCATGAGCAATTCGAAACACCTTTTATAGAACAGTATAATAACAGTAAAGAATATGAAAAATGACTAACTTAATGTATGGAGTACCCAAAACAGTTCAAATTTATTGTCTGTAATTATTTATTTATTATTTAATCGGGTATAAGAACTATGCATCGGACCGAAACCATCTTGCCCACGATTAAACTATACCTATATTATTATCTGCCATTTCCCGCAAGATTGTTTTTCCCACAGATGAAGAAAATACATAGATAAATAATTCAGGGTATTTGTTTGCATCTCAAATGATTCATGTTTATATTTACTATTCCCCGTGTTGTGATTGGTTCATTTAAGTTTCGCGCACTTTTACGCTCACATTTTGACAATTGCCAGAAAAATTGAGTTCGCCATTGTTGTGTTTCGTAGTGTATTCTAATGTTTTTGCGTTTTTAATGATTTCGTGCTCGTTAGTAAGATTTTTTCCAGTGAAAAAAGTCTTGAACAATGCCGAAGAAGTGTTATATTTGCAATATGTACCAAATGAAAGAAAATCAACGATCGTTCCATAAGTAAGTAACAATAATCATAGACGTAGCAATAAAACAAGCTGTTGGGGTTAAATTTAAATATTTCGTTTTGACAAAATTTAAGTGGCAAAAAGCATTAGTAAATCAGATAAATAAAAGCGTAAAAAATTTAATCGATTTTTTTATATGTTACAGATCTCCGAAAAATCTTCTAATTAGAAGACAGTGGTTTAGAAGCTTAGGAATTCCATATACAGAAACAATCTATCTATGTATGCTCTGATCACTTTTGTAATAAAATGCAGGATAATATTCTTAGGATAAGGCATAAGTTAATAAAAAATATTTTATTTCATAATCAATAAATTTCTATTTGAGTAATATGGTTGTCTTTTTCATTCATAACATTCATTCGATAGGGACAACCTAAAAAATAAACAGCTTTATTAGGGACAAACTTTAACTCCAGTATTTAAACCTGTTCTAATTTTTAGTTTTCTATTTATAAATTCACACACATGTGTTTGTGATAGGCAGGGTTAATGGACCGACACTATAATATGAATTATAATTATAAAATATGGTCAATCTTTTAGTTTCCTATATACAAATTTTATAAATAATTCTATGTAAGAGTTGATACCAAATTTTACACCGTGTCATACAGCTATTAAAATTAAAACTAGGGTATACCTACCCAAATGGAATTTAATTACTTTGTTTTGTTAAAATCTTGTGAAAATCATATTCATTAACAGCATAAGAGTATGATGAAATGTATCGTTCTTTTTGTATATAAATGAGAGTAGAATTGTGTCAGTAGATCATCTCCACCGTATTCTAGAAAGAAGTAAATGTAGAGGACTGTGAAGTTCATAAGTAATAAAATAGATTGAAGAAAAGTTAAATAATCTCATATATACCTTAAGAAATAAAACAGGCTTTCTTAGCATTCCTATTAATGGCACCATATTTTCCCGTATTACTAGTTTATCTACGGAAAATAAAATTTACAATTATAATTACTAAACTTGTTATTTTAGTTGCAATCAGCCCCTATAAAATGATACGCCACTGCCCATGAGGGAATGTAAACACAACTTCCTCACCCCTCCCATGAACTATTTTGACTTCAAACCACATAGGTATAAATTATGTATCTATGTCTTTTCTTGATCTGTGGTTTTTCCAGCTTCAAATTTGAAGGTTATGAATTTTTGAAAATGGTTTATTTTAGAGGTTTTTCCGGATTTTCTCTGTAAAAAAATCAACTGATCGGCTCGCACAAAAAAACATTTTTAGGTTTTTTTATTCTCTACAAAAGCCCTAATGAGAGTAAGACGATTCCATCACTATATTTCGGATATAAAAAAACCAAATAATGTCATTTTTTGCAGCTTTTATTGCTTAAAAAAAATTGTTCTACATAATAAGTGTATACCTATGTTTAGAGTGTTTAAGATTCCAAATTCATAGTTGTGGGATAAGATCGCAAGTAAAATTCCATTCTTGCGAATGGGGATATTCAAAATTCCTTGCTATCCCAAATAAGCGCTGGGGCCCTTTAAGGGGAAATCCAGCTCTGTACAGGTGAAATTTTATAAAAACAATTCGTAGTAGAATAGCTATCGCGTAAAATTACCAATCATCCAAGCACTTTTCATCTATTAAATAACTATAAGTATAAGTTCTATAGGTAAGTACAGAAGTGTTTATAAAAAATAAGTGATTTGTTCATTATTTTTAAAATAAATAAGTTGCCTAAATACAGTATTGCAACATATGTAATATGTGATGTAATTTTCTACTTACCACAAATATAAAGTTAAATCCATATATAATATGTTTAATAGACGTTGTATGCATTTTGATGAAAAATGTTGGAACGATTTTATAAACTTAATAAAATATTCTGTTATATTTTTTACCACAAAGAAAATTGAAACCGAAACAAAAGGTTTATTATCACTAATGAAATTGATAAATGCCAATTTTTACGGGAGATAAAATAATTCTAGATAAAGTGATGACGCGATAGTGTAATTAAATTACCTGCTGGGTAGATAATATTATTTTGGTTCATCTGTACGATTATACCAGTGGCGTAAACAGACTTTGACCATAAAGAGTTTTAACTTCACTTCATTGGGTACACCACTGGTTTATGGATGAAGGTCATTAGTTTAGATTTATATTTATAGGTTATGTAGACATAAATAAATGCAAAGATACCTACTCTGAAGATCTGAAGTGTATTATTTATTAAATAAGAATGGTTCGACATAAAAATAGGTATCCCATTATTCTATTTTATTATAGCGTACTAAATTGTTTTCTTGTAGATATATTGTACTGGAAATAAACGAAACAGGAAGAAACAATACTTTGCAACTAAAACTTAAAGGCATTTCCCTTCAGGAAGCGATATTAGAAAAAGTACAACAGTTACATGGAGATTTTGGTGTTGCAGCTGTACGAGCAGGGTTTACAGCGAAATATTTCAATGAACACACTAGAGTTGGATTTATAAGAAGTCGATGTGGTCCACATAAGCTAGTTGCTAGTTCGATCCCATGCATAAAGACTATTGAGAATAAAAATGTAGTGGTGAACATTTTATATGTAGGTGCTACTATAAGGCAGTGTTTTAATTTCCTTAAAAATTATCAGCAGAGAAAGTTCGATGAATACTGTGTCAAGTTGAAAACTGATGAAGAAAAACTTGCCCTTAAAGAAGCGATGTTGAATTTTGAAAATGTTTTAGCAATATTGTAGTTTGTTTTGTCGATGTGTATTATTTTATTATAACACCAATCTATCTGTATGTTAGGAAATAAATATTTTATTCATTTAGTGATATTAGAAATATGTGAAACTACTTATATATGACATACAAAAATACAACTACATCAATGATGACTGGTGAAAATAAAAGTGGTCATATTTTGTCGGTATCGAAAATAGTACAGAATATAAAATTTTGATAGTCTTCATATAAATAGCAAGTAAATATGAAAAATATAGGTAATAGTTAACATTCAGCGGAACATTTACAAACATCAAACAGAATGTGATATTTGTCAAACTGTTATTTTTGGACAAAATGAGGAAGTTAATTAATTTCATATACTTATTTACCGCATACTTTTTTTTATTTACTATCTAAGTAAGTAGTTAACGTAAAAGTTCGTTTTGGGGTTAATTATTTCTAAAAATAAAATTTTCACTTTATAATCTTCCTTAGTTTTTATAGAAAATACACTATTTCTCATATCTTAGAATAAAATTTAAAGTACTGCATTTAATTTTAATAATAATTCTCAAAACTCATATGCTACCCCTTATCCCTATCAGTTTAAATATACTGATTAGTTAAGTATTAAAAAAAATAACATGAGGAAAAGGTAGATATGATATTTGTTATATAGGCTGTTACAAATTCACTTCTCAGTACAGGGATCTCGGAAACGGTAAGAGGTACGAAGTAGCTTAAATGGAGGCAAAGTTACGTAATCTGGGGACCAGCATTATGCCTCTAAAAAATCAAGACTAACATGATTAAATTTAGAAATATTTGAAAAAACCGAAATTTTGGAAATCCGTTTTTGTCTCATTTCAGCNTCATCTATTAAATAACTATAAGTATAAGTTCTATAGGTAAGTACAGAAGTGTTTATAAAAAATAAGTGATTTGTTCATTATTTTTAAAATAAATAAGTTGCCTAAATACAGTATTGCAACATATGTAATATGTGATGTAATTTTCTACTTACCACAAATATAAAGTTAAATCCATATATAATATGTTTAATAGACGTTGTATGCATTTTGATGAAAAATGTTGGAACGATTTTATAAACTTAATAAAATATTCTGTTATATTTTTTACCACAAAGAAAATTGAAACCGAAACAAAAGGTTTATTATCACTAATGAAATTGATAAATGCCAATTTTTACGGGAGATAAAATAATTCTAGATAAAGTGATGACGCGATAGTGTAATTAAATTACCTGCTGGGTAGATAATATTATTTTGGTTCATCTGTACGATTATACCAGTGGCGTAAACAGACTTTGACCATAAAGAGTTTTAACTTCACTTCATTGGGTACACCACTGGTTTATGGATGAAGGTCATTAGTTTAGATTTATATTTATAGGTTATGTAGACATAAATAAATGCAAAGATACCTACTCTGAAGATCTGAAGTGTATTATTTATTAAATAAGAATGGTTCGACATAAAAATAGGTATCCCATTATTCTATTTTATTATAGCGTACTAAATTGTTTTCTTGTAGATATATTGTACTGGAAATAAACGAAACAGGAAGAAACAATACTTTGCAACTAAAACTTAAAGGCATTTCCCTTCAGGAAGCGATATTAGAAAAAGTACAACAGTTACATGGAGATTTTGGTGTTGCAGCTGTACGAGCAGGGTTTACAGCGAAATATTTCAATGAACACACTAGAGTTGGATTTATAAGAAGTCGATGTGGTCCACATAAGCTAGTTGCTAGTTCGATCCCATGCATAAAGACTATTGAGAATAAAAATGTAGTGGTGAACATTTTATATGTAGGTGCTACTATAAGGCAGTGTTTTAATTTCCTTAAAAATTATCAGCAGAGAAAGTTCGATGAATACTGTGTCAAGTTGAAAACTGATGAAGAAAAACTTGCCCTTAAAGAAGCGATGTTGAATTTTGAAAATGTTTTAGCAATATTGTAGTTTGTTTTGTCGATGTGTATTATTTTATTATAACACCAATCTATCTGTATGTTAGGAAATAAATATTTTATTCATTTAGTGATATTAGAAATATGTGAAACTACTTATATATGACATACAAAAATACAACTACATCAATGATGACTGGTGAAAATAAAAGTGGTCATATTTTGTCGGTATCGAAAATAGTACAGAATATAAAATTTTGATAGTCTTCATATAAATAGCAAGTAAATATGAAAAATATAGGTAATAGTTAACATTCAGCGGAACATTTACAAACATCAAACAGAATGTGATATTTGTCAAACTGTTATTTTTGGACAAAATGAGGAAGTTAATTAATTTCATATACTTATTTACCGCATACTTTTTTTTATTTACTATCTAAGTAAGTAGTTAACGTAAAAGTTCGTTTTGGGGTTAATTATTTCTAAAAATAAAATTTTCACTTTATAATCTTCCTTAGTTTTTATAGAAAATACACTATTTCTCATATCTTAGAATAAAATTTAAAGTACTGCATTTAATTTTAATAATAATTCTCAAAACTCATATGCTACCCCTTATCCCTATCAGTTTAAATATACTGATTAGTTAAGTATTAAAAAAAATAACATGAGGAAAAGGTAGATATGATATTTGTTATATAGGCTGTTACAAATTCACTTCTCAGTACAGGGATCTCGGAAACGGTAAGAGGTACGAAGTCAAAATGGAGGCAATGTTACGTAATCTGGGGACCAGCATTATGCCTCTAAAAAATCAAGACTAACATGATTAAATTTAGAAATATTTGAAAAAACCGAAATTTTGGAAATCCGTTTTTGTCTCATTTCAGCTTTGTTTGAGGTGATATTGAAAAAAGAAGAACACTTTTTCAAGGCCACTTTTTGCCCTCTTATTGAATGGCATAATCAATTTTTATATGTAACGTTTCGTCTCCAGGACCATCATCAACTTCATTTTTTTAAATACGACCCTAGAAATTGTATTATTACATTTTTTGCAAGCCTTCATGACCCTCAATACTGTACTTTCAGCCCGAACCAGATTCAGACGTTTTGTCTCGAAAAATTAATCTTCAGTGTATTTGTTCCAAATTTATCTAAATTTTTTATTTAGATTTCTTTGTTTATTGAATTATCATACAATGTAAGTGTCGTTAGACCCTGTGAAATTCACCTAGTTATTTGAACTATTACCACCATATGCGTTACAATAAAACTTTTGTTATTATTAACTATTACTATCACTTGGTCATACATAACTCCATAAGTTGTTGCGTCAAAATTAAAACATTATTACAATTTTAATTTTATTATGACAAATTAATTCTTAAAAATGCATATGAACAACCAAAGCGCCAACTGAATATTATTCTTTAAAAAATTTCAGTAGATGTTCAAAAACATTTTTGTTTTGGCAAAACTTGAAAATGAAGATCAGCGTAATATTATTGGAATTTATTATATCCGTAACCGCAACTGTGAAAGAGCATGTTAGATGTATTTGTATGAATATCTTGAAAAAAATAGATCGGAATTTGTTTGAATTTTGAGCACTACAAATAACTATGGACACTGGAAAAAACTAATAATTTTTTATTTTAATGAGTGGTGGTAATAGTTTAAATAACTAGATGGATTTCACAGGATCTAACGACACTTACAGTGTACGATAATTCAATAAACAAAGAAATCTAAATAAAAAATTTAGATAAATTTGGAACAAATACACTGAAGATGAATTTCTTGAGACAAAACATCTGAATCTAGTTCGGACTGAGCCAGTACAGTATTGGGAGTCATGACGGCTTGCAATTAATGTAATAAAATTTCTAGGGTCGTATGTAAAATAATTAAGTTGATGGTTCTGGAGAGACGAAACGTTACATATAAAAATTGATTATGCCATTCGATAGAGGGTAAAAATATTTTTTGAGTGTTTTTCTTATTTTCCAAAAAGACAGCAAAAG